ATTGATTAATTTAATTAAACGCATTAGTGACACTCCCTGAAATAAACGTGGATATATTGCGATAGATAAACAATTTGCAGTAAGATATGTCCGAAATACGTAATACACCGAAGCCCTAAGCGTTTGGTGTTTGATATCTTTGAATATTCTTAGCATTTAAGATCAAGATTAATTGTTCAATCAGTGGATAGTATTTAGTGGGGCGTGATCTCACCCGGCTCAAAGTCGGGGTTTGTACAGGTGCCAATCGACTCGGCTTTGTGTACGTAGCGTCTGCTGAATTGTGACGGAAAGGACCTAACTATTTGTTTTAGAATGCTATCAAACGAACTGTGTGCTCAGTGCGAGTTTTTTAACGTTCTCGATAGCGTAAAAGTTAACTTAAGTTTGTATGCAGTTGGAACAGCGCCCCTAGCGGCAAACGTAGGCAAACGTTCCAACTCCATACAAATTTGAGTTAACTTTTACGCCATCAAGAAAGTTAAAAAGAAATATTGATTTTTATACCTGACTAGCGACCCGCCCTCGCTTCGCTTCGGAAACATTAAAACACACATGAAACAAAAAAAAAAAAAAATAATAAAAAAGTAGCCTATGTTCATCAGGGACAATGTCGGCTTCTAATGGAAAAAGAATTTTTCAAATCGGTCCAGTAGTTTCGGAGCCTATTCGAAACAAACAAACAAACAAATCTTTCCTGTTTATAATATTAGTATAGATTTATCTATATACATAAAAAGTGTGGTGCATCTCTGTTTCAAGCGGACGTTAAAAGACTTGCTCATAAAGTTCTTGATAGCTCATAAGTTGTTTTTTTAAGTTGGTTATTGGAGCCCATTGACATCTACGTAAATGCGCCAGCCGCCTTGAGATATAACTTAGTATAGTTAGTATAGTTAGATACAACGGCTACCCTTCAAACCGAAACGCATTACTGCTTCACGGCATAAATAGACAGGGCGGTGGTACCTACCCGCGCGGACTCACTAGAGCTCCTACCACCAGTAATTACGCAAATTATAATTTTGCGGGTTTCATTTTTATTACACGATTTTTAGTTTAGCTGGTAAAAAGAACGAGCCATTATCCAATGATTATAAACTATTTTCATGCGAATTTCATTCAAATTCATTCAGATATGAGCCCATAATTGAGTTACAGAACATCCAAGTACATGTCTTTTCGCATGTACGTGTTTCATTAACCAGAAATGTAATGTAAATAAACAAGTCACATGTCATTAGTGTTCCGTTACTTTTTTTTTATTCTGTTACATTTTGAACCCGAATAAAATCAATATAAAAATCGGTAAAAAAACTTTTAAGTTAAACGGTTTTATTTTATGTGCACTGAAAACTACAAAATAAATAAATAGTTACTTACCTATCAACCTACGTAGGTGATCTCGGTCATTAATATCTCTGATGGTAGTGGTTGTCATAACATGAACCATGTCAGCGGCCGAAACGCAGTTCATGAAAGAACACTAACACCAGGGTTTGCTTGGTAGGTAAACTAAGCAGCCCACACTATAACAAGTAGGTATTTTGACCTTCTAGTTCAGAAATATTTTAGTACTAGGCAGAATAGCTTTTAGGCATTATTAGACTAAAATAAAAACGTGGGGCCCATTATTATTTCTGTATTATTTTCTACTATACTAAGTGTGGATTGTATCGACTTATTATAATCGTCATCATCATCATCCTAGCGGTTTATCCCGGTCGCATCCGAAACCTCATAGCTCCGGAGTCCAGGGTCCGCTGAATCGACTTACTATAATCGTAACTGGAGGTTTTGACCATCAATAACCAGCCGTGGCGGCTTCACCAGCGAACGCCGAGCTCATGATCTACCAAAGTATAAGATATGCTCTGCCATAGATATGATTTCAGAGGGGCCCCACGTTTTTATTTTNTGTGTTTGTGCAATTTATTTTTTCCTACCTATCGTTGAGCCTTGAGAGGCTATTTCAGTTTAACATTCAGTCGACGACTTTCCAGTCGTCCATGACCATTAAAACTGTCAAACATTCGAAATATTTCAAAGAATATAATGACCAATTAAAATACGAGACCAAACCGTAAAATTTGTTTCAATTATGTCCAAAGAAAACCGAAGAAAACACTTGAAATAGAGTGTACGAGTAGTTACAATGAGAAACAAGTTTTTAATTTGTTCGTTAGTTTCCTCCGGAGATACTCTGAAAAGGCTGGACCCGTGTGATAAGTATAAATGGACTGGTGTTATAAGGAGTAATCTTATGTACCTTTGATTGAACGAAATTCAATCTCATACTAACTGTATAGTGTTCTACAATAGTACAAATAATACGACTGTTTCAAAACCTGCCTATTTCTGCCGTGAAGCAGTAATGCGTTTCGGTTTGAAGGGTGGGGCAGCCGTTGTAACTATACTGAGATCTTAGAACTTATATCTCAAGGTGGGTGGCGCATTTACGTTGTAGATGTCCATGGGCTCCAGTAACCACTTTATACCAGGTGGGCTGTGAGCTCATCCACCCATCTAAGCAATAAAAAAAAGGTCATTTTGGGATTCACGGGAGGAGTGCTTTTTTTCTACCTATTCTAGTAACCTCAAAGGGTTCTACTAGACTCACCGAATGAGTAGGTGAGCTCAAGGGGCTCTAACCTGGAGACGTTTGCTAACACTAGCCCTAGAAAGAGCAGTGCTTCGCAGAATCTACTATCGGATCGGAAACGCGACCCACTGAGAAGATCCGTCGAGAAACTCAGTGGGCTGGGTCTGAGGGAAAAAAGGAGAAGCAGCTCTTTCAAAATATTATGCCAGCGCCCTGTGATCGCCAATCACCATTTATTCGTGGTAGCTTCTTATGGCTATACTGGTAGCTTCTTACTAGTAGCTATCACCATCCTGGCTATTTATTCCGAATTTTCTAAGACAGTCATGCCAACCTTTTACGAATGATGGACGAGAAATAGAGCGGAAACTAGTATAACCAACGATAAAATAAAAAAACCACTTAAATTATCATTAAATATCTCTTTAATCTTTTACTCATTCCGTTACTCATCTAACAGAGCTGTAAGATACTATCGAGCATTAGTGAAAACTTAAAACTAAAGTTTAAGTAAACCTTTCTGTTGAATAAGATTCCTTAGAAACAATACTGGCCACTGTAAAATCGTACCAAGTAGGTCGTTATACGTTCGTCACCCGCTTCTATCAATAAACGGGTAATTCACTGACGTTTCCTACGATCGCCCGGCTGTACAGGGCACGAGCGAAAGCGATTTACATCGTAATTTAACGATCCTCGCTTTGTTATATTACGTAGTTTTACGACGTAATTTAATATCGGAGTCCGTTTGACAAAGTCTCAATCGTCTAACATTTGTTGTAAGCTGTTACCAAGCTGTTAGGAGATAGTAAAATGTGCGTACGTAGATTTGTGAATTTTGGCCAAAGTATGATTTCGCGTTTGTCCTTCATCGTGAAAGTCAGCTGTGTGTGTGTGTTAAGTAGTGTTTGATTCACAGAAAATCATATCTTACTTAATAGTCCACGAAAATTTTTGAGTAAGCTTATGCAGAATCTATAAATAATAATAATCGCGTTTGTCCTTCATCGTGAAAGTCAGCTGTGAACTAGGGTTAAATAGTGTTCGATTCATGGGAAAATCACATCTTAGTTAGTAGGCCACGAAATTTTTTGAGTAAACTTATGCAGGATCTATAAAATAATAATAATAATAAATAACTGAAAAAATCATCGTGCCTTAAAGGACAAGGCGTCCGGTGCATTCGTATCTAGCGATGCACCGGTATTCGGATCCCGCAGGTGGGTACGAATTTTTCTAATGAAATACGTACTTATCAAATGTTCACGTTGACTTCCACGGTGAAGGAATAACATCGTGTAATAAAAATTAAACCCGCAAAATTATAATTTGCGTAATTACGCAAATACCATCTATACTTATTAATATTATAAAGCTGAAGAGTTTATTTATTTGAACGCGCTAACTTCAAGAACTACTGGACCGATTTGAAAAAGTCTTTCAGTATTAGATAGCCCATTTATTGAAGAAGGCTATAGGCTATATAACATCACGGTAAGGCCAATACAATTGGAGCACTAATAAAGAATGTTTAAAAATAGGGGTTTAAATAGCTCCTTAACATTATATAATTCAAAAATATCCTCACTTTCTACGTAAATGAAGTGGGGGTAAAATTTAGCGTTATGCCAAAGTAAGTATTCCACGCGGATGGAGTCACGGGCAAAAGCTAGTAAGATAATAAGATGTTTACCGTAAGTTTGCTAACGAAAGTGTACGTAGCATCGTGTAAATTTTGAATTATGTAGTCTCCGTTCTCGTTTACAACTTAGACCGCTCCGGCCCCACGATCGTCCGGCCGTCACTCACTGGAAATGTGCGATTATGTCGCAACCAAACGCACTGAAGTCGCTGCTCTTACGCAAGTGGTGCTGAGCGACCGGAATTGCCCCTTGAACGTTACAGTTCTTGAAGTTTATTGTTACTTACGAAATATCCTTCGTACGTATGTTATGCTGTTTGATACCACCGGAGTTGTTTCGTTCGAATAAAGCGATAATAACGTTGATGTTTTTTGATGTTTAAATGCATTGTTTATAGAGAGAGAGAGAGAGAGAGATACACTTTATTGCACACCAAAACCCAATTTACATTCAAAAAGCTGATACATTCGTACAATAGGTGGTCTTATAGCTAAAACTTATTTATTGGTGATAGGACCCTTTGTGAGTACACACGGGTAGGTACCACCACCCCGCCTATTTCGGCGCATTTACGTTGTAGATGTCTATGGGTTCCAGTAACCACTTAACACCAGGTGGGCTGTGAGTTCGTCCATCCATCTAAGCAATAAAAAAAAGTGTCATAATATAAGTTACAATTATTATCTAATTCGAATAATGGTTATTCGATTGCAGAACGAACGTTAACCCTTGAATTTTTAATTCGTTGTTCCAGAATGAGGTTGAGCGGTATACTGGGATTGCTCCTCGCGTTAAAACTATCAGAGGGTCAGTGGAGGTGTCCATCTCTAAGCAGCAGACCGGCGGCCGAGTGCTCCTGCGACCTGCCTCACACGTTGAGGTGTACCGGTGACCACACGGCGTTACAAGTACGTTTACATCGTCTCAAACTTTTTCGTCTGTGTGTTGCATGTCGCGTGACGGTCCGCCGCCAAGGCCAATATGGCGGCGCCTATAGTTCGCAGCAGCTGACCGACTATTACTCATTTGTGCCAGTGCTCCACACTATTTTGTTTTTGTTTTTGTCAGTGTTTAATGTAAATGTTGTTTGTCAAAGTTAAATGTCTATAATGTGAAAAAAGTTTCACTTTTACCGTGGTTTCATAAAACCACACAATCCTTTTTTTATAAAGCTTAGATGGGAGGACGAGCTCACAGCTAACCCTCTGTTAAGTGCTAATCGGAGCCCATAGACATCTACAACGTAAATGCCGCCACCTATCTCGGGACATGAGGCGTAAGATCTCAGTTTTAACGGCCGCCCCACCCTTCAAACGCATTATTGCTTCACGGCAGAAATAGGCAGGGAGGTGATACCTACCCGTGCGGACCCACAAGACATCCTACCGCCGGTGATTACGCAAATTATAATTTTGCGGGTTTGATTTGTATTACACGATTTAATTCCTTCACCGTGGAAATCAATCGTGAACAATTGCTAATTACGCATATTTCATTAGAAATATTGGTACCCGCCTGTGGGATTCGAATATCGATGCTTCGCTCGGCACGAGTGCGCCGGGCGTTTTATGTCCTTTAGGCCACGACGACTCCATATTTTCGTACGTTCGAATTAATTGATTAATTTAATTAAATGCTTTAGTGACACTCCCTGAAATAAACGTGCATATGTTGCGATAGATAAACAATTTGCGGTAAAATTTGTCCGAAATACGTAATACACCGAAGCGCTAAGCGTTTGGCGTTCGATATCTTTGAATATTCTTAGCATTTAGCATCAAGATTAATTGTTCAATCAGTGGATAGTATTTAGTGGGGCGTGATCTCACCCGGCTCAAAGTCGGGGTTTGTACAGGTGCCAATCGACTCGGCTTTGTGTACGTAGCGTCTGCTGAATTGTGACGGAAAGGACCCAACTATTTGTTTTAGAATGTTATCAAACGAACTGTGTGCTCAGTTCGAGTTTTTTAACGTTCTCGATAGCGTAAAAGTTAACTTAAGTTTGTATGCAGTTGGAACAGCGCCCCTAGCGGCAAACGTAGGAAAACGTTCCAACTCCATACAAATTTGAGTTAACTTTTACGCCATCAAGAAAGTTAAAAAGAAATATTGATTTTTATACCTGATTTATCTATATACATAAAAAGTGTGGTGCATCTCGGTTTCAAGCGGGCGTCAAAAAATTTGCTCATAAAGCAAATTAGCTCATAAGTTGTTTTTTTCAAGTGGTTATTGGAGCCCATAGACATCTACGTAAATGCGCCATCCACCTTGAGATATAAGTTAGTATAGTTAGTATAGTTACATACAACGGCTACCCTTCAAACCGAAACGCATTACTGCTTCACGGCATAAATAGACAGGGCGGTGGTACCTACCCGCGCGGACTCACTAGAGCTCCTACCACCAGTAATTACGCAAATTATAATATTGCGAGTTTCATTTCTATTACACAATTTTTAGTTTAGCTGGTAAAAAGAACGAGCCACTGTCCAATGATTATAAACTATATTTGTGCGAAATTTTATTCAAATTCATTCAGATATGAGTCCATAATTGAGTTACAGAACATCCAAGTACACGTCTTTTCGCATGTACGTGTTTCATTAACCAGAAATGTAATGTAAATAAACAAGTCACATGTCATTAGTGTTCCGTTACTTTTTTTTTATTCTGTTACATTTTAAACGCGAATAATATCAAATTAAATGTGACTTTCTGTTGTTATCATGTTAACGCATTCGCAGCGGGCGTCCTGTTTGAATAGGGCATTTTAGATATATATTCATCTCTTTCTTACACTAAATTAAATTGATGTTACGATTTCCGTGCGACAAGGAAATCTACGTTTTTCTTAGGCAAGGGTGATCGTAGCCCATCGTTTCGCTCTCAAGGTACTAATCACCATGTGTATTCGTTTTCTGAAGACGTTCGAACATCCTTTACCAAACCCACAGACACAGCCCACTGAGTTTCGCGGCGGATCTTCTCAGTGGGTCGCGTTTCTTGCGTTGGTGGTAGATTCTGCGAAGCATTGCTCTTGCCAGGGTCAGTGTTAGCATCACTCTGGTGTGAGCCACGTGTGCTCACCTACTAGCTAAGGTTACGTTAAAATAGCCTCACAAGAAAAAAAAATCGGTATCCTTTTAAATTGATGGATCCGAAACGAGAACCAAAAGTAGGGGCCCAAGAAAAGGTATTGTTTCGGCGTCGACGTTTGTCGGCACAATACAAATACTGCCGATAATGGAGAGGCTTTTGGGCCATTTGATATCCTATACTGTGTGCTGCAGGTTATTCCATATCAATACTTCTCTTTTAAGTGTTAATAAATTGTATTTTGGGTTATTTTATTTCTTTATATTCATCCTGATTACAGTATTCATAGAACACGTTAAAGAGTTCGACGTGAAACCTAACTCATACGTCAGCCCGCAGAGTTACTCGGCGAATTTCCTCAGATAGTAGATTCATTCGCAAAACAGTTGCTTTTGAGCTCATAGGTCACCGTCCTCGTCGAACCCTTCGCTTGCGACGAAGGGCTCGACTAGCGAATTAACCCACAGACATAGCCCACCGAGTTTTTCGCCGGATCTTCTCAGTGGGTCGCGTTTCCGATCCGGTGGTAGAATCTGCGAAGCACTGCTCTTGCTAGGGTCAGTGTTAGCAAGACTCTGGTTTGAGCCCCGTGAGCTCACCTACACACGATAGGGTGAAGCTGAAATAGCCTCTCAAGGCTATCAGCATAGGTAGGGGAAAAAATAGGTCTCCTTTGGGGGCGCTCGGGCAGCTGTTAGCAAATGACACTCCTCCGGACTAAGTCAGTGCGCCTGTTCTGACAGAGCTGGTTTGGATTGAACTAGTTTTCGGACCACCAGTAACTCGATCTTCAAAAGAAACCCTTTATTTGGTTTTCGTAACATGTAGTACAATGTAATACAATATATTTAAACATATCGATTTCTTTATTGTTACAAATGTATTTTGATGTCAATACGTTGTAGCAAATTATTTGCTCTGATATTATTCAGTGCGATTGATTTATATGTATCCATACGCCATTTAAATTATTACGAGTAATATTGTAAATGTAAAAGTGTGTGATCTTTGTTTGTCTTTCTTTCAAGTCGAAATGAAGCTATAAATTGACGTAATTTTAACAAAAGTGTTAGGTTTAGGTTAGGAAATTGACATAAGCAACTTTGATTATGACGACCAAACCGCGGGTAACAACTCGTATAAAAATATATTAGACTCCTTATAACCTTATACATTAGTGGAATCTTAAGGTGCTTCAGAATAAATAGAACAAAAATGTTTTTTATTTATGTCTTTATTTGACTGACTTCATTAATTATAGGTAAAAATACTGTGACGAGAAACTGTAAGTCACAAAAAAAAATTTAAGCCCGTCAAAATTCTAATTCACGTAATTACTGGTAACTATGGTGTCTTGTGAGTCTGCACTAGTTGTGCAACTTGCCTATTTCTGCCGCGAAGGAGTATTCCATTTCAATTATAAGGGTGAGGCAGTCCTTTAAAGAAACGAGATTTCGGACATTCGACTTCGACATTATAACGTTATAACGTTTTGTGCATTTAGATAATCGGACGTCATCTTCGAGAGCAGAGGGCGAGAAATAAGAACACTGCCATATCATTATTGGACTGTGCTTTGCGAGGAGTTACTGTACTCACGTCGGCGTCAGTGCAAGAGTTGGCTGGTGTTGGACTGCACGGGCTGGTGATTTCTTCAGGAGACATTAGACGGGTGCAGCAAGGAGCGTTTGTTAGTCTTTCGTCTACACTAATGGCTTTAGGTGAGTTAATCAAAGTTGAAAGGAGAATTTGTTGTACTTATTGAAATGTAAGCCTTAGAGTACAGTATAGGTCACCGTTGCCCTACGCAGGGCACTGGAGTAATTATATCGATTTGTGGTACTAAAAGGCCGGAATATCTAGTAGACTCTAGGAACGACGAATCCGAAGATACTGAGAATGAATGTATTCCTAAGATACTTAAAATACAAAAAAATACATCAACAAATAAAAGAAAGCAAAGCTAGACTATAGAACCGCTTAGTAATAGCAATCGATATACATAATTATTTCAGTGCTCCACGCAGGGCACTACTGATCTACACGGCAGTCAAAGGGTTAATGTCAAAATTCTTTAGATTAATATCGTAGTAATATTTTCATTCCACTGACCACAAAGAAGATTGTTTTTTTTTTGTACAAAATTATGTACTCATTAAAATTGCAAGTGAATATTGTTTACCGCTAATGTTAAGGTGTAATACTTTTCTGGTTTTAAGGGTTACCCCAACCCTTGTATCGTTATGAACAAGAGTAATATTAGAGTAGTGATCACATATAAGACAAGTTTTTTTTATATCTATTGTGTAATTATGTAGTATCTACATCTATACTGATATATAAATCTACAGTTGTTTTTACGGATTTTCCGTTATAACTACTGAACCATGCATCCGATTGATTCGAAACTTGGTATCCATGTAGAAAATACATGAGATGATACACTTAATGAATAGGCTAATATTTATATGAGTGTTGGACTCCCTAATAATAATGTCAATAAATAATGTTAATTTAAAATGCTCAGCAAAGCGGGCGAGTACGGCTAGTACTATTTATATACCTGTCATTTAAATGTTCATATACAAGCATTTGTTGCATTTATTGGGATAGCCCTTAAATCAACGTCGAAATGATGCACTCAACTCAGACTAAATGAATCTCCAATGTTTTAAATTCGATTTTATTAAAATTCATTTCATAAAAATTTCAAATGCCGTTTTGACCTTCATAAACAGAAACAGCTTGTCGAAGGTCATTCCTTAAAACGCCCGAGACATTAATCATCAAACAATTTGATTGGGAGGTCAAATGTGATTTTTCTTTGTTTATGCTCAATTCTATCGTGAAAGGGTTATCCAATTTGTGAATATCTAAGTCGTTCATATCCATATCCACACCTACCTTTCCTAACCACTCAGGGTTAGGTACTATGATTAGAAATGCAGATTAAGATATTGCTATTACCGACACTACTGTATCTTCTTCTTCTTCCCCCATTTGCGGAGTCGGCACAGCATGTCTTCTTACCATGCTACAAAGGAATTTGCCATGGGTTTAATGACCAGACTTCAAATCACCTTGGAATATACCTCCATATATCAATTGCAACATGCTACAGGAGAGGGACTTTTTCTGTTTCTTATTTTGGTGTTTCTTTTACTTTAGTTTTCGATTGTATGATTTGGATTTTATCATTAAAAACATTTATACAAAAACAATCATATTTTGTTTTCTGTATTTTTATAATAATGTCAATACTACTGCGTGCCTTTAAAATCGTGCTCCACATATCAACAGCACTGAATTGATTTTTGGTCATTGCTGATTATTTCTGACCTGATCTAGTTCTAGTCCGTCTTATTTTAAATGCTAATTTGAAAATAGTAGTAATCGTGTATAGCGATGCACGTGCATATATTGGAAATAATCACGAAGTTTTGATAGTGTCTGCAAAGGCTGAATTAAAATCGAATAAAAACATATGAATAGATTTTGATTTGCTGAGGGAATGGTTATACAGAAGTAATAGGAGATGATTGAGAAGACCCGGGACGTATAGCTGTATCTTCTAATGAATAGTCAAATGATCGTTCTTAAGATCATCGACGCTTAAATGGGCGTTCAAACCTCTCTCTGTTTTTAGTCAGGATCTTGACTCTCTGGATCGTTCAACGCGTTGGGTTTAGATATACCTTGCTCATAATATTACCAACATTAAATGCCATTGTGTACCATCACGTAAACCTGAATAAAAAATACAACTGATTCAGTAAAATTTCATTCTAAATTCTTTTTCTAAATTTCTAATTTTTCTAAATAATTCTTCATTCTAAATAATTCTTAACAAAAAGGAAAACTTATTGAGTGTGTTGATAAAGTCAACTTATTAAAGATAGCTCAAAAACTAGTGATTAGATCTTCATAAATAGGACCATATGGGAAGCACCCGAAGAATCTTTAAAACCGTTGGACGAAGAAAAAAGAACTTAAAAATATTGTCGGATTAAGAAACTCATCTTTTTTTGAACTCGGTTAAAATCATTTGAATTGAAATAAATATTTTTCAGGTTTACCCAACAACCAAATGCCTTCAGTGCCAACAGAATCTTTATTGCGTTTGTGGAGTCTAGACAGATTGGATTTGTCTAATAACAAGATACACAATTTGGAATCTAATTCCTTTAAGGTAAGGACGAGTTTGTTTTGATGTCGCGTTAATGGAGACCAGTCACGTATGCATCTCAGAGTCTATTTACGTAATACTCTTATCAAGGTTTTTCCATTGCGATGTATTGTTTAAATTCGTTTCTTTATAAAGGCGTAAGTTCATTTTATTTGGACAATTAAATTTCTTGCGATTTCCGTTTTAAGTATCATCTACGCTAAGCTTCGAAGCATACATTTCTTAGGGTGCTAACAACTATTATCACAGTTATCTATGAGACCAAGGGTTTATTTATTCAGTGCAACAGCTTCATCTTTATATGTTACTAGCTGACCCGGCAAACTTCGTAGTGCCTCAATCGATAAATAAAAGACCTAAGCTTTTGTATAAAATAAAAGGAATACGTCCGACGGGGGACCATCAAAGGAATTTTTTTTTTAATTCCGACAATTTTCATATTTATTTACCTTTTAAACCTTCTCTGGACTTCCACAAATAATTCAAGAGCAAAATTAGCCAAATCGGTCCAGCCGTTCTCGAGTTTTAGCGAGACTAACGAACAGCAATTCATTTTTATATATATAGATTATATGTTATTATTTTCGAGGTCTATGGAGAGACCAGAGTTCTCTCTGCTCTTTGGACCGTGTCTTCCATGGGAGGCGCTCTGTGAAAATTTTCAAGTGAATCCCTCCATACCTATTCCACGATCGCGTCTCCTGCCACTGGAGTAGCCTTAATCCTTATGATCTGGAACCACTACGTTTATCTATAGTGCGTTTCCAGAGACCTTTTATGCCGAGTATCATCAGGTTATGGAAAAAGCTCCATGGTACTTCCCGAATGCTGTAACATGGCCTTTTCAAATAACCCTTCCGGAGAGTACTCGGCAGAGCCTTAGCTACTTCTCAAGCTTTGCTGATGTCCATGAGCAACGGTAACAGCTTGATAGTATCACGTTAGCCATATGCTTTTCGACCTATTTATAATATGCTATTTATAATATGCACCCGAGGGAATCCTTGAGGGACAAGTTTAAGGAAATCAAAATTCTAACTTTAGCGTCCCAATACATTTTTGAAAATTTATTGTACGTGCGTAAAAACATTGTAAAATTCCCCAGAGTCTGCGATTTGCATAATGTGAACACTAGGAACAAACATAGGCTTGCGTTGCCGGCGGCTCGAATTAAGAAAATAAGCAACTCTTTCAGGGGGCTGGGTGTACAGCTTTTCAACAAGATCCCACAAAACGTTCAACTACTACCTGTTCATAGATTTAAGAAAACTGTCAAGGAACGTTTGTGCAACAAGGCATATTATAAAGTTAAGGATTTTTTACTAGATGGCACTACGTGGGAATGAGGCGTTCGCTCCTGGCCTTTTCATTTTTCATTATTATTATTATTTATTTGAATTGTATTTTTTTGACTTGTTTTTTTGTATACTGTAAATATGTTTTCTTGTTTAAAAAAAAAAAAAAAAAAGAAAATAGTTGAGAAAATACAAAAAAAAAAAGCCCGCTGAGTTTGTTTCGCCGGTTCTTCTCAGGACTGTGGCTTTTTTTGGAACCGGTGGTAGAGTTAACATTTTCTTTTACATTTTGACATTCAACAAGTGTGTTTTTGATGACATCCAAGTTGAAATAAATGATTTTGAATTTGAATTTGAATTTGACCTATAAAGGAAATAAATAAAAAATCTTCTTTTAAATAGACCAATTAATCCCATATTTAAGTCACAAAAATCAAAAGCAATTTTCATGAAAGCTTCAATACTGCGGCCACTGGAAATGTAGCGTACTTTTAAATTTTAAAGCGAATTTCTTTGCAGGGTATAAAGAACCTTACTTACTTAGACATAAGTGACAACCAATTGACAGATATTTCTCCTGACGCATTCAAGCCACTGGTGAAGTTGACAGTTCTAAGGCTTCGCGGGAATCTACTTAAAGTATCCGCTTTGGGATCGCTTAAGGTAAGGCTTTTGAAAATCTTTTTGATGTAGTCTATCGATCCAGGCTATATACCGGCATACCGGAAATTTTTGCTCTATTTTTTATACAAGCATACGGTCCACCTGATGGCGAGTGGTTACCTTCGCCCATGGATGTCAGCAATGCCAGGGATAGAGCCAAGCCACTGCCTACCGTTAAACCATTTCCTAAAGCAATAAATACCACGATTTTTTGATAAGTCACTCATATGACGAAACAGCCAAAGTAATTTTAATTTATTGAGAGAGAAAATTTGGTTTAGTTTTCGGTTATCGGCATAGATTGAGTTATCAGAGAGCAATATGATATTGTAATTGCTATTCTCGAAGTAAGGGGCAATTCAGGACGTGTGTCATCGTATATTTTGGCCACAAAATCTGGTAAAACGCTAAAGCCCGACCTCTCTACGACGATAAAACGGTCAGGTTTTTTTTTTCAGGAAGCACACATGTTGAAGGAATTGGATTTATCGAGTAATGCCCTAGAAGGCCCTTTGTGCTCGAATACAGTACCGGCTTTGAGTCGTTTAGCAACCTTACAGCTGTCTGACAATACCTTTGCCAGCATCCGACGGGGCGCGTTAGCTGGTAAGCTACTGATTTCATTTTGAAAATTTCATTGTGTACTAACGAAACCTATAGAGTTTTTTTTTTCAAATTTTACTAACATTTGTGAGCTAGATAATTGTGGAGCTAGATAATTCAACACGAGTGGATGAAGGGGTTTAGTACCATTTTTAAGATATTTGAGTTCTTACATTGAATGAAGGTGTTATGTGCCTATAAACCATATTTGGCCTTAAAATTCCGGGCTTAAAGGCTATTATTGCTTGTGATGAAGTTATGTAAATGCGAATTAACCCATAGACACAGCTCACTGAGTTTCTCGCTGGATCATGTTAGTGGATCGAGTTTCCGATTCGGTGGTAGATTCTGCGAAGCACTGTTCATGCAAGGGCCAGTGTTAGCATTACTCTGGTTTGAGCCCCGTGAGCTCACCTACTATTTAAGGTTACGCTGAAATAGCCTCTCAAGCCTTAGGTAGGAAAAAAAAAGTGGGAACTTCTCCAATGCATAGAACACTGCACCGGGCTGCAATATCAAGCACATAAATGGAATAAGAGAAATGATTATTTGCGGTATTCCCATTTTTCCGTCTGTCTGTGACATAAGAAGTTCTCTACTAGAATTAATTTTCGTTCGCGTAGTTCCACGTATATCACGTAGATTTCTGGAGAATGGAAATTAATGTCTTCAGTTTCGAATCTATTCCGTATAGGTCTAGATTCTCTTGACATTCCCATTATACTGTTACGCGCTGAGGGTTCGGGATAAATAAATGTTCCACCAAAGTACAACTAAATACTGTTATCAACACTTCGAACACTTAAAACACTCAACAAACACTTTAAAACATTCAATTCGCTTGTTCCGCTTCGCTTCAGGTGATCCGTTCGCTTCGAGTAGTTCTGATTACTGACTGACTACGTACCATCTTTACAACGTTATTATAGCCAATACCTCATCCCTAGATTTATCGAGAATATTCGACACATATCTAGTAGTAGTTCTCGTTACCTGACAATAGATGGCGTTGTACTTCTCGAGCGTTCTAGGTCCTTCGATATTCGTTCGACTATTCGGCGATAGATGGCGTTACTCTTACCGGCGTAACAATACTATAACGTTATGTTGTTACAGGTCTGTCGAATTTAACAAGTCTGAATCTACATAACAATCAGATTGACGTCTTAGAAGATTACGCTTTCAAGCATTTGACTAATTTGACGGATCTGGATTTATCTCATAATGAGATAGTTGCAGTTTCAAGTGAGTAATATAGGTATCTATTAAAGGTGGTTATAAGAACACTGGCGATTCCGCACGGGTAGGTACCACCCGTAAGGTAAGCAGTAATGCGTTTTGGTTTGACGGATGGGGCAGCCGTTGTACTGTAAAAACTTAGACCATATGAGTCATATTTCAAGGTGAGTGGCAGCATTTACGTCGTAGATGCCTATGGGCTCAGGTAACCACTGAACATCAGGTGGCTCGTCCAACCATTCTAAGCAATAAAGAAATATTTCGTATTTTTTCCTACTCCTATTAGGTTTTACTTATTAGTTTCGTGTACTTCCGCCTTATTTTGACACTCGGATATCGTTGGGAAGAGTGAAGTTTGGTCGTAAGAGACTGTTAGTTAAAGAGCATAATTATGTATGGGATTCGCCAATGGAAATAATACCATTGCGCTTGAAAAATGAAATTTGTGTAATATCAAAAATCAATCTTTTGTGAGCACCTATCTAATCAATCTATGCGTGATGGTGATTGGATTGTGAAATATACACGTGTAGGTAGTATTATTTTTTAAGCGCCTGAATTAAATAAAAGGCAATGTATTTTCGTAGATAATATAATAAAAATATTTTAAGCGGTATGATCTAGTATTTATTATTATCACTGTACTATTTCCTAAGTTTATAATTTTTCACAATTCGGTCGTGGTCACGGACCAATCTTGAAAAATGAACAAAAATTGTAAATGTTGTTGATTGTTGTTTTTTTAATTCAGTTTTAGTTTTGAGATTACAGTTTACGAGATGTAGAAGATAATAATATGAAAATACTTTATGTCAAATCAGAAATTAGGATTAGTAAGAATAGTTCGTTAAATTAACTAAAATTCGCATGTCAAATAATGACAAAGCATACACGCTGATTTTAATTTATGTAATAACTAATTTTCACTATGCTTGGCGAATAAATGATTTCTTTCTTCTTCTTTCTTCTCTTTCTATGATAGAGATTAGTTTATATGTATAACGTGACCCATACACACAAGTTTGTTTAAAAATAATGTTCGTTACAATTCATTCAAAACGAAACACACATGTCGAACAGTTATTAGTACCGTTAAAAGATTGATGGTTCGAGTTAGTAAGACAATATCTTCTGATTAGTATGCCAGATTTTTACTGGTGATAGGACCTTTTGTGAGTCCGCACGGGTAGGTACCACCGCCCCGCCTATTTCTGCCGTGAAGCAGTAATGCGTTCCGATTTGAAGGGTAGGGCAGCCGTTGTAACTATACCGAGACCTTAGAACTTATATCTCAAGGTGTGTGGCGCATTTGAGTTGTAGATGTCTATGGGCTCCAGTAACCACTTAACACCAGGTGGGCTGTGAGATCGTCCACACATCTAAGCAAAAAAAAAAAAAGATTAAGACCGGCACAGAACTAAAGTTCAAAAAAACAGTGAGATATCAATGACGTCAACAAGACTGAACCTTAGGGACTTTTTAAACAAAAATCAAACACATTACGACATATCTAGTTCATTTAGATCTCCGTCTTTTTTTTTTGTATTCCAGTATCTTTTAATTATTTACGAAAGAAATCAAGTTAGTGTTTTTTTTTCTTTTTCCCGTGTCACGTTTCCACAGCGTCACTGTGAATCAGACGTCCAATAAGGAACGCAGGATTCTTGTTTTTCTTTTTTTTTAATTTCCGGATTAAAACAATTTCATTGTAGAAAGGAAATAAAACGTACAGCCCCACGAACCGTATACAGTTTTATACAGAAATACGCATTTCGGAATTATTTAATTCGGAATTGTTTTACAGTATTTGACCTATTTCATTTTTTTTTTTGTAAAGGCCTCCTCCGTCCTTTTCCATGACTCCTTGTCTTTGCCTGATTTTATCCAGTCGTTTCCTGCGACGTGTGTTATGTCATCAGCCCATCGTCTTAATTGTCGACTAACATTCCTTTTCCCCATTGGTCCATCGTGTGGCTTCAATGGTCCATCTTTTGTGTGGACCTTTACCCAAATAGGGGTCCAAATCTCATAAATAGTACATACTTATGTAAACTTTTAATTTTAAACTACAACTTACTAACAATCATTGTGTTATAAATCGAGAGTGAGAATTGGATTAAATGGCTTTATTATTATTTTTTTGTAATTGATTTGTTTGCTAAGATGTTGGTTGATGTACCATTGAGTTGTTGGGTCACCCTTGGCTCGGGTAGTTGTTGGTAGATCTCGCCCCTTCTGGATGAGCCCTTAATCGCCCACCTGTCCTTGTGAAACTGGAAAGGCCTCCGGGCCACCAGTGTTTTTTTTTTTATTGCTTATATGGATGGCTCACAGCCCACTTGGTGTTAAGTGGTTACTGGAGCCCATAGACATCTACATCGTAAATGCGCTACCCATCTTGAGATATAAGTTCTAAGATGCCCGCTTATGCGGGTTGGTGGTTTATTATTCATTTGGATTCTTAATACATTATGGTACAAGCAAGTTTCGTGCGCTTCGAGAACTTTACAGTTCACCTTAAATTTGTGCCAATAACAATTTATAAAGTACATGACGTGTTATCTATATACGTGAAGCAAAAACTTTGTATCCCTTTTTACGAAAATTGCGCGGACGGAGGAGTATGAAATTTTCCACACTTATAGAGAATATAGAGAAGAAGTGCACAATGCTAATTTTTTTTTTTTAAATAATGCATACAAGTTACATTACATCAATAAAGAAAACATTACACACACTACATACCATGTATTTGACGCACACGCATGCTATTTATTGTCAAACTTTTGTTCTTGACGTCTGTTGTCAAATTGAGAATAGAATATGGTTTGTCTTTGTTAATATTTTTTCTAGTATAGTCTTGGCGAAATTTGTGATTATAGAAGTATAAAATACAATCATAATAGTGTACAAACTTACAATTCCAATTAATTATAGTCGAATTTCGACTACTGCGGGACCTGTAGTCTATACTAATATATAAATGTACAATAGTTTTTACGGAACCATGCATCCGATTGACTTGAAACTTTGTATCCATGTAGAAAATACATGTACTTAATGGATAGGCTAATATTTATATGAGTGTTGGACTCCCTAATAATAATGATAATAAATAATAATTTCAATTTTAAATGTCCAGCGAAGCGGGCGAGTACGGCTAGTATTTAATATATGTAATACACGATAATATCATCTGGTACACGGAATCTCGCAACAACTGTTAACAATATTGTGGCAAAATGACAGATTGCTTTGGAACCAGTCGTGGACTAGACCGCTACAATAAGACACTGAGAGTTGAACCACATGCTTCAAGACATGCCTCTGTACTTTGGTAAATTCATCAGACCAAAACGTTGGGAAGATGAAATAAAGAGTATTTGGCCCACATTGGAGTCGAATGGACAAAATTAGAGAACGGCTAGTTAAACTATAAGTTTACTTTGTTCTGCATGAATAGAGTAGCGATAGGACTAAAACTATTTATTGTTCCACAGGTGCATCTCTAGCTCAACTATTCAACTTACGCCGTCTCGATTTATCCCACAATTTCCTTCGTTCGCTCTCCGCGGAGCCGCTGAAGTCACTGCAGAGCCTGACAGAGTTGTATCTTCATGATAACGATGTGTCTATGATAGATGACGGCGCTTTGGCTCAGCACAGGGGCCTCGGTCGCTTCACTATTGAAGGTAATGATTTCAGAATGACGTGCGATTTTCATGTGACATACTGCTGTGCGGGTTGAAGCGCTTGTTGGGATAGCATTACGTAGATTTTGGTTTATATTTGGGCTGCCGATCTATGAAACAGGTATGTTCACGCTTACTAAGTTTCAAGGTAATGTGGAAAATTGTCATCATTGTCCTGCCCTTCTCTCAATCACCTGGGGTCGGCGCAACATGTTTTCTCCTTCCATACTCCTCAATCATATACCATTTCTTTGCTCACTCCGCTCTTACACATATCGTCTTTCACGCATCCATTCTTTCCTTCTTAGGTCTACCTCTTCCTCTATATCCTTCCACATTCATAACACTCTCTTACCAATTTAATTTTCATTTCGTCTCATCACATGTCGATACCATCCCAAACGCGCACTTGTCAACTTCTCTGTCACAGGTGCCATTTTTAGACTTCCTCTAACATATTAATTTCGAATTCTATCCATTCTCGTTACTCCGCACATCCATCGCAACATTCGCATGTAATGTGGAAAATTATATCCGACAGCAAAAAAAAACCCTTTAGATCTCTCTGAGTATTTTGAGACTTATACCGCGACAAGGCGGTCGTATCTTTACAGGATTTGCCTCTTATGAAAATTCTTGCCTAGAAACGATCATACCACCTGTTGTACCTACATATTATATCTGCCTATTACTGAATATTAAGGCTAATTATGTTTTGTCGTGGAGGTTGTTACGTCGTAACAAAGTTCTAAAAATATAAAATTAATACAAAAAAATTATTAGACACAATCAAACAAAATAAGTAGTTGTTACAATGAATGAAAACCGTGCGCTTTAATTTTTTTTTTAACATTTTTATTACATGTCTACTTAATTACACTATACATTGTAACAACTAGTTAATTTGTTTGTTTGTGTGTAATGATTTTTTGAAGTGAAACTTCTTTAGAATCGTTGTGATTTCAAACTCGATGAAACGAAACGAAAAAATAAGTCCATAGAGACACAAACACATAACTGTATAGGATTCAGTCGGCGAGAGAATGAGATAGAACACATTATACATGAAGTTAAAATATCAATTCGCAGAGGGCGCTACATCATACTATAAAAGATGATTTTCACTTCTACCGTGTGTGACTTGCACACACACACACACACACACTTTTTTTATTAATATTATATTTTTCGAACTTTGTTACGACATAACAAGGTATATTCTCTATCTATTTCTCTTTTTTTTAATATTAGATAAATGTTCCCCGAAGTAATTAGTTCGTTTGAGACCCGAACTGAATTATCAATTAGGACTTTACGAACCGAATCTAATAACAATGAAGACAATGAGTACGAAGGGTAATCGACCTGGTCTATACACGTTCGGTTAGAAATGTAATTAGGTTCAGACAAGATTCCTAATACGGTTGAAATCACACAACGATAATTCTTGGAATGGATCTTTTGGACGAATGACGTGAAATGTCAACGCACTATCAGCTGCCCCTACTAAGCCGCACCTTTGAATTCCAATATTATTTCTCTGCTAAATTGACCTAGAGTTTGAAGTCGTCGTGGCCTGAAGCATAAGCCGGTATACTCGTGTCAAGCGATGCGACTGTGCCGATGTTCGAATCTCGCAGGCAGTTATCAAATTTTTTTACGAAATATTTACTTGATATTTTTTCACTAATGATTTCCTCGATGAATTTTTAACGAAAATCATCTTCTTTTTCTTCACTTTATCCCACTAGGTGAGGTCGGCACAGCGAATTTTTCTATTCCGTTCTCCTCTATTAGCCGTTATATCAACACTCACTCCTCTCTCTCTCATATCGTCATTCACAAACTCCATCTATGTCTTATTCGGTCGACCTCTTCCCCCTCTACCTTGCACTACCATTTCCATACATCTCCTAGTAACACGCATCTTCTCTCTACGTATCACACGTCATCTTTTAACAAAATGTAATTTTCGTAGTTACTATTACAATTGAGATAACAGACCTTAGATATTACTCGTAAGGTGGGTGGCGGAAATCACTTTGTACTGTTTATAGGCCCCGGTAACCACTTACCATATTTGGGCCGTGAACTAGTTGATCGGCTGCGTAATAAATAAAAAAATATTATGGATCCATACGGGAACACAATTGCTTCATCACGACAATTCAACCTTTATACAAACAAAACATCAAACCGATGTCCTTTGAGTCCTCAAAAGAAGGATTTTGGATGTATCTTATTGAGTAATAATTTTCTAATTATTTCGTTTTTTACACTAGATATGGGTAAAACACAAAACCATTCGCCGCTAAACGCCAAAACTCAACAGGGTATCGGTTTACGAAAGAAAAATTACAAAAAATCCAATGATTTAGATCTTTTACGTTTTTTGTTGTCTTTTCCGCAAATCCGTGATGAACAAAAGGATATTTGTCGAGGCTCGACGTTTTCAGTGAGGTGACGCCCTAGCCCTATTGTGGCGCCCTGAGCAACGCCGACTTATTGTTGCATGACTTTTAACTATCCTTCCCTTTGTTACTGATATTTTATGGGATTTTTTTTTTTGGTTAGAAACATCCATAGCATTGGCTTCTGACACCTATTATTATCATTCACGTTTCGATCCATTGTGTATATTTGTGGGCTCGATAGCTCACGATTTCCATAAGCGAAATCTGATTTATGTTTTACGCGGTAATAAAATTTGACCTCGTCTGATTTTTATGTGTTATTAATATATCGTTTATAATGTATATCGTATATTATCATAAAAAGCTTTTCGTGTTAAAAAAAAAACGATTATTATTTTTTGCCTCTCTACCATCTTTTTGTGTTATTTGATAAATTATGTCGAGGGTAATCATTGATAATCAAACTTGGCAATTTATTATTTCAATTACTTAGAGCATATTGGAGATATATTAAGCAATATATTAGGTGGGCTTCGAATAGTTCGTTTACATATATAACTAGCACAACATCTCGTAGAGCGAGATAGCAAATGGAGAAGCAAAGAATTCCACCACGTCGCATTTTCTGAGCTCTGTCACTCTTTGGTATATGAATGATTGGTAGTGGAAAAATTGAATCTTTATCGATTGTTTTATACAAATGGTAATCACAAATCGCAAATCATTTACAATACTGGTCGTTGCATCTTAAAAAAATAATTTGTTTACGAAGATTAAGGTCGAATACCGAGTGTATCCTATGACTTTTAACTGCTTCTTGTATGTGGAATACAGATGTACAGGCATGGAAACTTTTATCTTATGGCTTATCGCTTCACGCAATGTGGTTTAGAGACCCGCTTTACAATACTATTGAGATTTCAACTACCTTAGTCGTAATTTTGTATGCAAGCTTTTTATGCAAAGTTGTTGTTTTTTGTTGTTGTATGTTGTCCCCTACCTTATCTTTGGTAGTCTACGGGGCTATTCCAAATACGCGTTGAAAATTTCCAGCACTAGTCCTTACAAAAGCAGTGTTTCGACCAACGAGCAAATCGGTTGTACTAATTAAGTTATTAAAACCAAATTACTCGTCGGTCGATTCTAATAAATATATATAATGTATTATTTTATTTACATCAAAATACAGCTTAGCCTAGTAAAACTATAGCACAAATTGAGTTGTTCTATAAAGAGAAACAACATTTAAAACTATTGCTTCACCCCTTTTTTTTATATTTCAATATTCCAAAAATGCTTTTATATTTCTAATGTTCCTTCTTCTAATGTTTTAATGTTCGAAATTCCATTTTTGTCATCTTTATAACATATTAACCTCTTTTAAGATAAATCGTATAGAGGTTACATATATGAAAATGAAAGAAAAAAAATACATTTTCAGACAATCCCTTGAACTGTGACTGTTTAATGGCTAGCTTCGCTAGGTGGCTTCGCGAGGCGCAGAATTTATCTCAAGCGGATAAATCGGCAGCTGTTTGCACGACGCCCCCACATTTAGAAGGGGGCCTTATATCCAGATTATCGAAAAACAAATTATGCGACGACAACGACCACGTTGAAGCGAAGCTAAAAGAAAATTATGACTTTAATAAAGAAAATACGATATCTTTTAATGAAAAAGATGGAGAAGGAAGCAGTTTAGACGATGATTCGTATTTGGATAAGATAGATGGATTAGATGATGACGTCTATGACGAAGAATTGGAGGTTCCTTCGGAAGAGGATTTGCCAATCTCCAAATCTAAGGTAAGCTTCATAAGTGTTCTTGTGTTTATTTTGTTACCGGCATCTGTGTTTGATGGGGAGGCTAACCATAGCCTCCCCATCCATATCAACGGTCCATATGATAACCATATCAACGGTCAATGAACTCAAATCATTGCCTTGTGAATTATGTAGATGGTGATACCTATTTGAGCGCACGTGCAATACGCTGTACCATCGTTATGCTTCAGACTTTCAAGAAGGTCACAATCAAATTGGACGTAATAAGAATTGCAAATATAAATTGCGTAATTACAGGTGGTAGGACTTCTTGTGAGTCCGCGCGGGTAGGTACCACCGCCCTGCCTATTTCTGCCGTGAAACAGTAATGCGTTTTGGGTTTGTAGGGTGGAGCAGCCGTTGTTACTGTACTTGAGACCTTAGAGCTCATATTTCAAGGTGAGTGGCAAGCCGTGAGCTCGTTCACACATCTAAGCAATTCAAAATAAAAGAATTCCTATATAATCGTGTATAGCTAAAGTATTATTGATTTTATCAAAATATTAACCGGTGTAGATCAGGATAAACGCAAACTTTAAACTCTTCATTTATTACCTGTCTTTAAGGTCCGTCTTCTGGATGCCTGGTATGAAGATGAAGAGGTCCATCTGTCGTGGGTGGTAGATCCACCTTCGACGAGACATTACCGGTGCACGGGAGTGACCGTGTCCAGGGGTGGTGGAATAGCGAAACACGTGGCTTGTCACCGGGCTTCACCAGCCAATATTCTGTTAAGGGGACTAAAGATAGACCCTCTCGATCAGTATACGTAAGTAGCATGAGGACTATTTTAAAGTAATAAAATACTTTTTATCAAGTTCAGACTTGTTTCTTCGGGTAAAATTAATGTCAGGGTCTTGTAACCTAACCCATATATCAGCCCGCTGTATTTCTCGCCGTATCTTCTTAACGGGTCCAGCTTCCAATCTGGTAGAAGATTCATTCGCGAAACAGCTGCTCTTGAGTTGTTAGGTCTCCTTTGTAGGCGCTCAGGCAGCTGTAAGCAAATCTCATCTCTCCTGGCAGAGCTTTTGCTTTGCCATCTGTCCTGGTGAAACTGGAAAGGACTTCGGGCAACCATTAATTAATTCATCTTTCCTAAAAAAACCTGCTCGTTGGCTAATTTTCAATCAATTTCCATCATTTTTAATGTAGTTCTATTGTCTAATGACTTTAAGCAATTTGTGTAATTATATACTAATATTGATGCGAGGTTATCTATAAAAAACCTGCGATGAACTTTATTATCTGATGCTACTTTATACAAAATACCAATTCGTTTTATTTTAGCGATAAAATTAAACCCGCAAAATTATAATTTGCGTAATCACTGGTGGTAGGACCTCTTGGGAGTCCGCACGGGTAGGTACCACCACCCCGCCTATTTCCGCCGTGAAGCAGTAATGCGTTTCGGTTCGAAGGGTGGGGCAGCCGTTGTGACTATACTGAGACCTTAGAACTATATCTCAAGGTGTGTGGCCCATTTACGTTGTAGATGTCTATGGGCTCCACTAACCACTTAACACCAGGTGGGCTGTGAGCTCGTCCACCCATCTTAGCAATAAAAAAAAAAAAAAAGATATCACTATCTGTTTTAAGTAAAATACTTGCTTTTATAAAGGCATTTGGGTTGGAGTATACATTGCAGTATTGACCGCCATTCCCTGTTTTAAGTCTTCGAAGTTCAGTCCATGACGGAGTTAGGACGTTTGGACAAGAAGACAACATTCTGTGTGCAAAGAAAAATATATTTTTTTTTTTAAAATATGACTGTAGTTTTTACAATATTCAAATGTTGACGTACTGTTAAAAATGAGACTGTACAAATTATGTCTTAAGGTGGGTGGCGGCATTTACGTTGCAGATGTCTATGGGCTCCGGTAACCACTTAATATCAGGTGGGCCGCGAGCTCGTCCACCCATCTAAGCAATAAAAAAACAGAATAGACAACTTGGTCGACTGTGACCATGAAAACTGTAAAATATTTGAAAAGTCGGAAACAATAAAGGCGATGATTCTCCGAAATGCGAGCCGATGTCAACAGTAGGTCGAGATCGAGGTCATACCGTTGGTCGTACTTGTGAATAATAAGTACATAATAATAATCAGGTGAAGACAACTTTTACGGTTTAATCTTGGGTTTTTTTACTGTGTCATTATATTCTTTTGGACGTTATGAATACTACACAGTTTTCATGGTCACGGACGACCATGCCTTAGACTTAATTGTGTCTATTATTCACGAAAATCGAACACAATATACTTCATCATCATCATTTACAAGAGAGTTTGTATTTATTTTTGACTAGCTGAGTCTCGCGATGTTATCCGCGGTTAATGTCGTACCGCGGGTGACGCTGCAGGGCGAAGCTAAGTTATTCCTTATATCATCAGCTACCTATCAGTGAAAGTCCCGTCAAAATGGGTCCAGCCGTTCCAGAGATTAGCCGGAACAAAGAGACAGACAGACAGACAAAAATTGTAAAAAATGTTAGTTTGGTGTATGTACCGTATATTATATTCATATGCATGTAGTAAAAAGCGGTTATTTCAATATTACAAACAGACACTCCAATTTTATTTATGTGTATAGATTAAGTAGAAGAGAATCCACGTGTGAGTTATTAATAGTATTATCAACATTGTTATTATATATACCATTTAAACTGTTTTTTTTTTCTGATACGCTTCTCTGGGCACAACAAAAGCAATAAACAAAGTAAAGATAAGAGATTCCCGGTAACAATATTTTGAATTAAATTATTAATTATTAAATAACAAGCTGATTTCTTGAAGTTTATAATATAACTGTGTTTTTTTTCTGACAGCTTCTGTCTGGCGTTAGAAGAAATGGACGACATGGATGTTCCTCTGTCTCTGGTGTTAGGGTGTGGTCCGCCTCAGGTTGTGAGGAAACGCGCACCGTTTGCTACGGCGGTGCCAGTCGTTGTTACCGCTTCACCGGGAATCGAAAGTTACAGGTGAGTGACCCGGCTGAAGAGTTTTAGGGCTTAACTGTTTATTCAATTTATCACCTTTGTGTCTTCAAAATAAACTAAGATATTTTTCGCGGTAATGCTACCTATTGTTTCTTCCAAAAGACGAAATTGATAGTTCCAAAGTATATTGGTTTGCGTTCAGCCTCTAACAAGGAAAAAGGGTCTCTCTGAAAATTATGGAAAATGTATTTTGAATTAATTCATGTTTTTTTGAACTTCTTCTTCATAATGAGCCTAAACATTTGATAATTCCTCAGGGTCTCCGAAGTACGATCTAACGTGACCAGTGACGGTGTATTGACCGTCCTCATCTCGATAATGGGGTTACCACAGCGCTTACAGAATCTCAGATCGCAGCATACCGACATGAAATACCCGTTTAACTGTTTTGTAGTTTTAGCAGTTCTCTCTGAGGGTTCTTTGGTAGCCCAAAAGGACACCCGTTGTCAGTCCAACCTGGAGGTCACCATGGAAGGCCTAATAAGAGGACCTTATGAAGTGTGCGCCACCTTATCCAAATTCAAGAGAGAAGATGCTCATCCAATCTGCGTGGTGCCTCAACTGTTAGAGCCATTCGGTTCTCAAATCAAGGCGAGCTTTAGGGGTCTTAATACAGCGTTGATAGGGATCGCTTTATGCCTGATGATCGTGGTTGTGGCTTTAATATGTTTCGTGAGGAAAATGCTGAAGAAACCTACCGATTTTGAAGGTCACAGATGCTTTAGGCCTGATCCGGTGCAAGAACCGGACAGTCCTAGAGCGAATTACGTGATGCTGACAGCTACTTCTAAATTATGAGCTTATTGTACTAGTCTTTTTTGTTAGTTTTTGATTTATTTAACGCGAGGGTGGCAGGAATATTTTTATTAGAAAATTTTGCTGACTTTGTGCGAGAAGTTGTAACAATGTTTAATTATTATAAGAAACTGTTCATTACTCTTAATTGTAATCATGAAAGTTTTACGTTATCGAAAAGGGGAATTTGTTTGAGAATTTAACACCGAACCTTTCGTGAGATAAAATTTTGTAAATATAATTTATCTAGTACTAGCGGACCCGGCGAACTTTGTTCCGCCACACTGTTTGTTTTAAACACGTCAACTTCAAAATTCTACTATAATTAACCATAGAATATATTACATTTAGCTGTCAGTTGCGTTTTGTTATACCACGTTTTATGTCACGTCCCACGGGAACGCGATAAAAAGTATCCTATGTCTTTCTCCTGGTTCTAAGCTACCTCCTCACCAATTTTCAGCCACATCAGTTCAGCCATTCTTGAGTTATAAATAGTGTAACTAACACGACTTTCTTTTATATATATAGATACAGGAATCAATGTTTGTTTTTTTATATTTTGTACGCTTCTATATTGTTCGTAAGATTGCGATCAAATATTGTTAATTTATTGCTTGAGCGTGTACGAAGCTTATTAACATAGTGCCATTATCCTACAACTTATGTTGCAGGGTTTTTCATGTACTCAGCAAGGCCACAACGGAGTGTGACCGGTTTTCATTAGTAAAGAATAAAATAGTCTTATTCAATTTAGATTTAGAAGTCCTTACTACGGGTTAGTTCAATATTGATTATGAGATGCATAGTAGCGAAGATTTACTTAATTGTACTTACTCCTTGTAATTAATTTGTGTGAGAAATTTAATCAGATGAAATTTAATTAACTAGTGGTCCCGCAGTAGTCGAAATTCGACTATAATTAATTGGAATTGTAAGTTTGTACACTATTATGATTGTATTTTATACTTCTATAATCACAAATTTCGCCAAGGCTACTCTTTAAAAAAAAATTAATAAAGACAAACAATATTTAATTTTAATCTATTCTCAATTTGACCACAGACGTCAAGAAAAAAAGTTTGACAATAAATAAATAGTATGCATGCGTGTGTGCGTCAAATACATGGTATGTAGTGTGAGTAATGTTTTCTTTATTGATTTAATGTATCTTTTATGCATTATTTTAAAAAAAATATTAGCATTGTGCACTCCTTCTTTACACTCTCTATAAGTGTGGAAAATTTCATACTCCTCCGTCCGCGCAATTTTCGTAAAAAGGGATACAAAGTTTTTGCTTCACGTATTAATATAATATAGATTTGTATAGGTATCAAATGTTTTCTCAACATTGTCAGCTTTGGTAAACTGTTAGCGTAAGTTGCATCTACAGAAAATACAAATAGTCTACCAATACTGGCTTACTGTATTACTAATTTAATGTAAATAGAAGTGATATTCGCTGAGCAAAAGAATATCTTTGAGTTACGTCGGAACTGATGTTCTATTTTAAGACATTATTATAGTGACTGACCTCATGATTGGCGTGTTTGTATATAAAATTAGTAAGTTAATATGTAAATAGTTAATATTTAATTAAATTAATAATATTGTACATTAATTCAGTTGCTTTTGGCTTGTTATTAATAAACAGAGTTTTATTTGTTATCTTTGTAAAATAATAATTGTTTTTTATGACTTCGAGTTGGCTTTTGTTGTGACTGTTTCAAGATTAATGTCGTATCGTTTTAATTATAGCGTCTATGTTAGTGACAGAAATCGATATAATTACTTCAGTGCGTCGCGTAGGACACCGGTGACCTACACGGGAGTAAAAGGGCTAAACTTCACTTTGCCCGGTCTTAACCCTTAAATGGACAATGTTGTTTTTAAACAACATACTAAACATCTCAGATAAAATTTACCTTCTTTTAATTTTTTGTTAATTTTGACAACTGGTTCTTATTTCTGAACGAATTTTGAAAAAAAGTATAGTAAATTCATGTCTAGATTTTTTTACTCATTTTTCCTAGACAGTAATACATGTCTATTACACAAATATATTTTTTTAAAACGTGAAACAAAAATCGTCCATTTAAGGGTTAAATTGCTCTACAAAAAAAAAAACATCGCAGCTACATCTTAGCTTCTACAGACGTTGTGTTCTATTTTTGTGTCATATTTTAATAAATAAACATTATAATTATTACTAGTGGTCGCCCGGTTGTCGAAATTCGACTTCTATAATCACAAATTTCACCAAGACTACACTGTAGAAAAATATTAATAAAGACAAACAATATTTATTCTATTCTCAATTTGACCACAGACGTCAAGAACAAAATATATGACAGTAAATAGTATGCATGCGTGTGTGCGTCAAATACATGGTAGTAGTGTGTGTAATGTTTATTTTTATTGATTTAATGTATCTTTTTAGGCATAATTAAAAAAAAAGTATTAACATTCTGCACTCCTTCTCTACATTCTCTATAAGTGTAGGAAATTTCAAACTCCCACTGTCCGCGCAATTTTCGTCAAAAGGGATACAAAGTTTTCCCTTCACGTATTAATACATAGATTAACTTAATGTAGCTTTTTCGGTAACTAAGCTTTATTCGCTTTGTAATAAGTTGCGTTCGAACCGTTATCGAATGAAATCGGTGTAAATTGTTTGTTAAAAATGTATGATTCGGCTTAAATTAGTTAGTTTGACATGTAAATAATTAATTTATGTTCTTCAATTCGTTTATTATTAAAGTTATTAACAAATTAATGATTGTGTTTGTTATTGAAGTGAAAACTTCTTTAGAATCGTTGTGATTTCATACCGGACGCAACGAAAAAAACGACAGGTAAGAGACACAAATACAAAAATGTGTAGGATGAAGCCAGCAAAGAATGAGACAGAAATATACATACTATTTAATACAGCGCCATCTGTGAGATTTTTTAATACTAACGTGTGTATGAAAGCTCTTGTAGTGAATTTTAATTTAGGATTATACGTGAAATTAAAATATCAATCATTTTACATATACTTAAGACGTTTAGGATAATTGTATTTTAATTTTGGAAGGTTTCACTTCTACCACGTGTGAATTGCACACATTTTGTTTTTTTTTTTTTGCAATCGCCGAAAAGTCACTGGAGTTTATCGTGATCAGACCCCGGACATCAGGAGCTGGATATAGGCTTCCGCCTAGGCTTGCCATAATGGGTTGTCCTATGCTACCCACATCCATCGGATTCCCGTGATCTTCAGCAGGTCATTGCTTCACCTCGTGTGATGTGGTCACCAATCGAGAACGGTTTTTTTTTATTGCCCAGGTGTGTGGACGAGCTCATAACCCACCTGGTGTTAAGTGGTTACTGGAGCCCATAGACATCTACAACGTAAATGCGCCACCCACCTTGAGATATAAGTTCTAAAGTCTCAGTATAGTTACAACGGCTGCCCCGCCCCTCAAACCGAAACGCATTACTGATTCACGGCAGAAATAGGCGGGGTGGTGGTACCTACCCGTGCGGACTCACAAGAGTACCACTACCAGTAAAATTTAACTGTTTGGCCCCACCAGCCATCTGTTCAATAAGCTCTGTGCTTTTGCATATAGAGCCTAATTTCCTTTGTCGTATCACTCTCGAAAAAGCGGTCGTGATCGTCATTCAGTATCATTGCTGTGGGCAGATGTTATGCGCCTCACGAGCATAATATTATATACATATATACGAGAATATATACCACAATATGAATGTCTCCACCAACGAAGGCTCTCGTTAAGTTATTTGGCGGTAGAAATATGCAGAGTGATACTTGTGGTAAGCCTTGATATTAGTTAAGACGCAAGTTCCCAAACAAACGCGTATAGGGTTTACAATATTTAGAGTTATACTATTTGAACTGAGATATTAATACGTTGAGCCCCAATTTAGAACCTTCTCTTGTGACATGGGTGTCATGGTTTTGGGCTAATGGGCGTACGATCTCCGTTCCACCTGGTATTAAAGTAGACATCAGACCGTGAATGGAGGTCGAAATGTCAATTTTATTTATTATAAAAAAATTTTTATTGCCTATATGGTTGGATGATCTCACAATCCACCTGGTGTTGAATGGTTACTGGAGACCATAGACATCTACAACGTAAATGCGCCATCCGTCTTGAGATATAAGTTCTAAGGTCTCAAGTATATTTACAACGGCTGCCCCACCCTTCAAACCGAAACGCATAACTGCTTCACGGCAGAGATAGGTAGGGTAGTGGTACCCACCCGTGCGGACTCACAAGAGGTCCTACCACCAGTAAAAAAATTGTGTCCTATCACCAATATTGTGTTAGGGCAGTCTCAGCCTTCAAACCAAAACGTAAGTCGCGCGGCAGAAACAAAGAGAATGACAGTACCTCTGCCGGTTTACGAAACACACACCTAATTACGCTAATCTATAAAATATTTTCCTAACAAAGCTATCGACATAGACCACGAATTGAACATAGAATCCGTGACCAATAGACAGGTTCGCTAAGTATTAGAGCGATCATCATTGATTGTTAGGTGCTTTTAGGTACCACAAGCACCGGTCACCGTCCTCGTCGAACCCGTCGCTTACGACGAAGAGCTCGACGAGCGAATTAACCCACAGACACAGCCCACTGAGCTTCTCGCCGGATCTTCTCAGTGGGTCGCTTTTCCGAACCGGTGGTAGATTCCGCGAAGCACTGCTCTTGCTAAGGCCAGTGTCAGCAACACTCCGGTTTAAGCCCCGTGAGCTCACCTACATGTTAGGGTGAAGCTAAAATAGCCTCTCTAGGCTATCAGCATAGGTAGGAAAAAAAAAGATTGTGAAGTGGAATCCGTTGACAAAAACATCTTTTACGTGCATCATTTCAGAAATTTTAACTTTGGACAAGAACTGTTAACAACCACAGGCCGAATACATTAAATACTATGTACTAAGATATCGTTACTATGTATTAAAAAAAGGGTGCGTGTACTTATGTACGCGCGTAAGAAGTTATACTTTATTTTTATTAAATTTATTTCTTCTTTTTTTATTTAAATTTTAATCAATTTGAAAAAAAATCGATTAAACAACATCCTCAAACACGCGTATTGGACATCCCTTTTCTTGACATCGTATAAATTCGGTAATTCTCGGTACGGTTCGGAAAGTTTACCTGCGGCTATATTCAGACTCGTCAAGTTACGTCGGTCGTATTGTAATGAGCGATTTAGTGGGCAACTTCATTCTGTTAATTTTGTGTCATGGTGCGCGCGCATCGTAAAATTTCACTCTCAACAATTTTTCATAACGCGCCTAAAGAAGTATAACTTCAAAAAATCAAAGAAATGTTCCAAGTAGAAACCGAATAAGTCATTTGTTCCAATACGATTCCAACGACGAATTCCAATTACTGGTGGTAAGACCTCTTCTAAGTGCGCGCGGGTAGGCACCACCACCCTGCCTATTTCTGCCGTGAAGCAGTAATGCGTTTCGGTTTGAAGGGCGGGGCAGCCGTTGTAACTATACTTGAGACCTTAGAACTGATATCTCAAGGTGGCAGCATTTACGTCGTAGATGTCTGTGGGCTTCAGTATCCACTTAACACCAGGTGGGCTGTGAGCTCGTCCACCCATCTAAGCAATAAAAAAACAAAATACGAACGATACAGAAGCAAAACTCACGTTAACACTCAAAATTCAGTTCCCCGATAAGACGTAATGTCAAAAGGTGACCGAGCGCATAATTACGTGACAGAATAGTAATCGCGCAATCTTAATTATGACAATATCAGTAACAATCGTGCAGCAATGGCGGGCGGACGCGCATTTTTGTTTACATTAATAGTATTATCGTTATATCTCGCGAACACACAATGCAAGGTATACACTAGATGTAAATTGACGAGAGACTTATTAAAAAACAACTTCCCAAGGACGTTCATCAGTAATTGTGAGTTGTTTTATTTTATTATTGCATACTTTAATTATTCTTAGTTTTTTGTATCATGTCCTTCACAATGAATGTGTGGGTTTCCCGTTGATGTAAACGAAATATTTTTACCTTGTCATAGCGTTACATAGTCGTGACTGTCTTTTTTTATTTACTAGAGGTCCCGCAGTAGTCGAAATTCAACTATAATTAATTGGAATTGTAGTTTGTACACTATTATGATTGTATTTTATACTTCTATAATCACAAATTTCGCCAAGACTGCACTATAAAAAATATTAAACAAAGACAAAGAATATTTAATCTATTCTCAATTTGACAACAGTGGCCAAGAACAAAAGTTTGACAATAAATAGTATGCATGCGTGTGTGCGTCAAATACATGGTATGTAGTGTGTGTAATGTTTTCTTTATTGATTTAATGTATCTTTTATGCATTATTTTAAAAAAAATATTAGCATTGTGCACTTCTTCTCTATATTCTCTATAAGTGTGGAAAATTTCATACTCCTCCGTCCGCGCAATTTTCGTANTCAAATACATGGTATGTAGTGTGTGTAATGTTTTCTTTATTGATTTAATGTATCTTTTATGCATTATTTTAAAAAAAATATTAGCATTGTGCACTTCTTCTCTATATTCTCTATAAGTGTGGAAAATTTCATACTCCTCCGTCCGCGCAATTTTCGTAAAAAGGGATACAAAGTTTTTGCTTCACGTATTAATATATAGATTTACGCTGCACGTTCGTGTGACGTTTAGATACAAGAGCTACGAATTATCAACTGATTTGTGGATCGAAAAGAGCTATTAAGTTAAAGTACTTACTAATGAACATCATTCAACTAACATACTGAGACCTTATAGCTTATGTCTCAAGATGGGTGGCGCATTTACGTTGTAGATGTCTATGAGCTCCAGTAACCACTTAACACCAAGTTTTTTTTTTTTATTGCTAGATGGGTGAGCGAGCTCACAGCCCACTTGGTCCTTTTAGGCCAAGACGACTTCTAAAACTACTTAGAGAGGAAGCCGGAGTCGCGACCTCATGTATCCCTTGAATAACCTGGTAGATCATTGTAGATTCCTCTGACAACACCTTTAAATCTATTCCATCATGATTCCAGATATATCATACATTAAATCGGCTCAAATAATTGAACACATGATATTATATGAATAATTGAAGTCATCGTGAGGATAAGACGTCCGGTGCATTCGTGTTGAGCGATGCACCAGTGGTCGAATCCCAGGCGGGTAGCGATTTTTCTAATGAAATACGTACTCAACAAAAATGTTCTCGACTGACTTCTACGGTGAAGGAATAATAATATTTCTGTCGTGAAGCAGCAATGCGTTTCGGTTTGAAGGGTGGGGCAGCCGTTGTAACTATACTAGAGACCTTAGAACTTATATCTCAAGGTGGGTGGCGCATTTACGTTGTAGATGTCTATGGGCTCCAGTAACCACTTAACACCAGGTGGGCTGTGAGCGCGTCCACACACCCATCTAAGCAATAAAAAAACACACATATAATTTAAACTTACTAGAACGAGACACAGCACTATTGAACTTTTGAAGAAAGGGTAGAAAGCGGTATTTTTAAATTCGATATGAGCGTTTTCAGTACAATTTTCTCGGACCAGTGGTACTTAATGATCAATCAATAGACAATATTCTTAATTAGCATCGCCTATAGAAGGCCATCGAAAGGTCCAATATTTCACTCTTCCAATTTTGAAGTCTTTGGTAAATTTGATTGTTGTATTGTATTTCACTTTTTGGAGTTCAAATTTTTTATTATGAATCTTAATTAACATAGTTATTATCCGAACAAGCGGGTCAGAGTAGCTATTGTAGTGAATTCAAAGGTTGCCGTTATTTATAATATATAATTAATAATGATAGTTATACATATAATCAATTATTGATTAGGAGTACAACGCCGCGAGCATGCTTGCTATTATCCCTTTCTATATTATGTAATAAATGCTCTGGGCTAAGCAGCGATTTGGCTGTGCCTCTGGTATTGTTGACATCCATGAGCGACTGTAACCATTTACCATCAGGTGCGCTGTATGCTTGTCTTCCAATAAGGGCAATGAAATAAATAGATTAAATATCCTGTAAATCAAAATAACAAAAAAATAATAATCTAAAAAATAATCTGTAAAACTTTGCGAAGGTGGTTTCTTGATACTCTTTTGTAGACTGACAATATTTTTCGGAAATTTCCGTTATAAATACAGAACAGATATTAAGCAATTTAAAACCGAATCACTTTGGAGCTGAATTTAGGAGAACGAAAAAAAAAACTTATTAAGTCTAGTTACCGCGGAGAAATAAAAAAAGTGTGTGTGTCCGCTCCGACGCACGACTGGAGTTTACTCCTCAAGAACGATTATAAAATAAATAAATAGATAAGGGAATACGGGTATAAATGAATGCATTTTTGATGATACTTAGATTATGTACGGTAGATTTTTATTCTATTAATTATACATTTGATAAATTGCATTTCATAAATAATTTATTAACTGTTAATAAATACTTATTAAATTCTTTGACGTTAAAAAATCTGTGGCATCATCCTGCCACGGCTACCTGAGTGCGGACCTGCGCGCAAGAATCAGGTGATGCGTGCGCGCGCCAATCAGGAGCCAATCAGGTGATGCGTGCGCGCGCCAATCAGGAGCCAATCAGGCGCATAACGCATTTCGTGTGACATGCTATACTCTCTAGTACGATTTTGGTCCCCATAATTTTCATACCCCGGGCCTATATATGTAAATCGATTCTTAAGGAGTAAACTCCAAAAAAAAAATGTACTCCGAATCTAGGAACTTGTCTTGAAGACTCTTAAAACAGAGAGAAAATAGAAATTTAATACCAAACCAAACCAATAAATGTCTTTCGTTTTGGCAATGGGCGAAAAATCACGTAAATTATGTGTGCGATTTGATACCATTTATCGTCAATTGAACACACTAATTGGGGGCGTTGAAAATGAATTCCAAACAAGATAATAGGTATTTTTAGATTTGAAACTTATGTTATTGACTGAAATTCGAAATCAATTATATAATGAAATTAATAAATTTAAATAAAAATAGTTGTGAGCTTGATCAAAGTTCATTTTCGAAGCTCAAATAAAAAAATATGATAGCCGTCACGGGATGCCTGGCAGATGTGAAACATCGACATTATTTTGTAAAAGTAATATGCAGAAAATAACAGATTGTGATAGGAACTAAATATGTCATAATAATAAAATAAAATATTACGAAAAAATAATTTGTTTTCAAGTAAAACACAAGTTATGTGTACTGTAGTAAACAACACTGTATACACTACGGAGTATACACTATAGGTATCCGAGCTCAGTGTAGCGAGAGAGATGGCTTAACGCCGGATCGAGTGGGAGAGAATCGCACAGTCGATTGCGCATGGCGACGCGTCGCCACGGCATGCGTCGCCACGCCAGAAATCGGTTTTACGTGCGGTTATAGATGTTTCACATCAAAAACCTTTGTTTCATTACACGAATCCGAGTGACATCGATTTTGTGTTTATTTCGTATAAATAAACTTTTTCATACAATACCCGTTTAATGCTTTGATTATAGATCAATTTTATTTAAAAAAAACGCAATAATTGTCAATACAGAAAACACAAATAGTGCTGAGCATTTTTTTATTATTTCAGCTTTATCAATGAAAATAAGTAGCTGGTCACAATTATTTCACTGGAAATTAATTGTGATTTTCATATTTTCATCCCAGTGGATTCATTTTAAATTATGAGCGGTACGTCATGAATCCTTTTCACATTGAAAATAACGAGGTATTTATCTGGGCCCCACACTGGCTCTGTAGAATTTTCGAGAAGCCGTGTATGTGTCATTATTACCATTCAATGTACTCTTGTTGTGAATAATTTAATCCACTTTAGGCATTTATCGTCGTGAACAAGCCTCGCGTCTTCAAATATTAATGATGTTTCTTTATCAGGAATCCGCTTTTGGCGTTTCAATTTTCTATTTTGTACGTAAACGTCCGTATTCATAAGTGGTTGTTTCTTTTCAAATGTTTATGGGCTTTTTTTCTGTAATCACGTTTGAAATTCTGTGCTTTGTCTTTTGTATTGTTTCGTTAAACGTCTTAAGCCGTATTTATATAATTAAAACTACTTTTACGACGACTATGAAAATTCTCCGTGATCGCTAAAACCGTAAAGTTTAAGAAACGTCGGAAACAATATAATGTTAATAAAAACGCAAGATTAAACCGTAAAAGTTTTATTAAATTATGAAATAAAATAAATTACTATCTTATTTGTATTTTCCTCAAATAGAAAATGTTTAAAAAGGAACGTTAGGCTAGTTGTTAAAAATCGTTTTTTAAGTTAGCTTTGGAGTCAGCGTAAAGTACGAACACCGCGACAGCAATGGAAGAATCCTCATACATGGCGCCGAAGACGTTGAGAAAGCCTCAAGTTATGTTAATGCTGCGGACTTCCACCTACTGTCCGTCCTCAAGTGAGGAAGCAGCAGTAGGTGGTCTCATTTTTTTATTACTGTTATGCAACTATTTGCCTTTCCCTCAAGGAATTAAGATAAGATTAGATATTGTTACGTGCTCGGGTTCGTGACAAATAAAATTTCACCAACTGTATTCAACAATTAAACACTTTAAAACACTCAACAAACACTTTAAAACTCTCAATTCGCTTATTCCGCTTCGCTTCAGGTGATCCGTTCGCTGTTTCGCTTCAAGTAGTTCCGATTACTGACTGACTACGTGCCATCTCTGCAACGCTTCTATAGTCGATACCACATCCCTAGAATTATCGAGAATATTCCACACAATTCCAGTAGTAGTTTCCGCTATATGACAATAGATGGCGATGTACTTCTCGAGCATTCCAGGTGCTACCAGATCCTTCGATATTCGTTCGACTATTCGGCGAAAGATGGCGTCACTCTTACCGGCGTAACAATATGTCAGTGTCAATGCAAATAATGCTTTTTCAAGACTTCAACATTACTAAACAGCGGTTGTCGCGCTTTATTGAGTAGAATTTAAACTCTAATTAATATGTTTTAAAATATATTTTACGGTAATGAATACAGCAAAAACTGCGCCTTAATACGTATAAATTGTTAAGTTTAGTAATTAATGCAATTCACGAAACATGATTTTTTTTTGTTCGCAAAAAAAGAAATCTTATGAACGTAAATGACTAAGTCGACGGAAACAAGCAAGAAAATATCAACGCCAGAGAAGATTGAGTATGTGGTTACTTGTGAAATATTGTTCGAATGATAAATGGAGTTGGCCTGATGTTACTGGAGCGCTATATATGAAGCATCTGCCATGTTTTACATCTCGACCGACGTGTTCTGCCAACCGCCGACACTGTATTGTTCGCAATTATTAATGTAGAGCGTTCGAATAGTTACTTTATTTCTATTTATACACACATTCTTTTAACGTACTACAAACACACACACACAGACAAATATAACGAGAAAACACTAAACAAACTAATATTTGTTTTGTTGCGTTTCTAGACAGATGTGTGAAGGACCTGATGATGAGGGTTCAACGTCATTCACGTACGTCAGATATGTCTGAGCTGTTAAGGACCCTCCTCAATACTTCTTCGAAGAAGAATGTGCCATAGCACTAAAATAACACTTTGGAGGGAAGTTCGTTTTAAAACCAGATAGCTACACAAAAATGAACTGTGGATGAACTCGGAAATCATAGGTAGTACCTGCGAATAAGCTTCGTTCTCCCACAGAAAATCGAGCAAGGCACATGTCGTATAGTAGCAGTCCCAGCCACTCGACAAATAAGGTATATCTTTTTTTTGTTTTATAGCTTAGATCAGTGGATGAGCCCACGACCCACCTGGTGTTAAGTGGTTACTGGAGCCCATAGACATCTACAATGTAAATGCGCCACCCACCTCGAGATATAAGTTCTAAGATCTCAGTATAGTTACAACGGCTACCCCACCCTTCGAACCGAAACGCATTACTGCTTCACGGCGGAAATAGGCGGGGTGGTGGTACCTACCCGTGCGGACTCCCAAGAGGTCCTACCACCAGTGATTACGCAAATTATAATTTTGCCGGTTTGATTTTTATTACACGATGTTATTCCTTCACCGTGGAAGTCAATCGTGAACATTTGTTGAGTACGTATTTCATTAGAAATATCTCGATTCCCAGCACAGGGCATAGTCTATGAATTATTTGATCAATGAACTAACGTTATCTACAGATATGTCCTCTTTAAGTTTTAATCTTATTAATTAATTAACATTATTTGCACTGACGAGATAGGAAAAGCAAATGAAACCGAGCGGATTGTTTGGGAAACTATTATAGATAATGTAGGAATGTTTTTCTTTCAATTAAGTACTTTATTACTTCGGAATTGGGTTTGGAGTCGTAAAATGTTGATGGCGCCGTTTAGCAATGGACTCTTGTGACCGAATTTACTGCTTTCGATAGGTAGGTAGCTAGTGGCCTATCTCGTATTTAATGACATTAGGTTGATTATTGTATTGTTTATAGAGTAACCAAACTCTATTGGCTTCTAGTCCAGAATACACAACTCTTTCGCAGCAACACTAATTGGGACCACTGAATAATAATAATATAACTCTTTATTTAACACCACATGTACAGAGTAATCATATAAAACAAATAATAGTCGGTGACATAAATTGGCGGCCTTATCGGTGAAAGCGATCTCTTCCAGGCAACCTTGCAGGGAGAGGAATAAGCAAACTTGGACGGTGCTATATCTTAAATAAACTTACATAAAAATAAATACTTATATACACATGTCAAAAATAAATACAATATAAGATAGACTTACATACGATTAAATGCAAATAAATACTAAAAATATGCTAGTAAATATAAAATAAGTAGCAACTTAGTAGCAAATAAGTTAGTAAATAACTTAGTAGCAAATAAGTAGCAACTTTTTTTTTTTATTGCTTAGATGTGTGGACGAACTCACAGCCCAACTGGTGTTAAGTGGTTACTGGAGCCCATAGACATCTACAACGTAAATGCGCCACACACTTTGAAATATAGTTCTAAGGTCTATAGTTACAACGGCTGCCCCACCCTTCAAACCGAAACGCATTACTGCTTCACGGTAGAAATAGGCGGGGCGGTGGTACTTACCCGTGCGGACTCACAAGAGGTCCTACCACCAGTAAAAAAAAAAGCACTGAAGTGGCTGAGATTAGACTTCAGTCACTTGCAGTTTGAACGGAAGAAGAACAATAGCGAGGTTTTCTATTTCTTGTGTTAGTCTGGTCGTTCACGAAGCACACTGTATGAATTAACTCTTGTTTTCATGTCCTTTTTAAATTTTTACTTTTTTATGGCGTACTGCTAACATTTAAAGGGGAATGCCCACTCTCCATAGTGTGCTAGGCCCAAGGTGGACATCAAATATTACTATAAAAATGGATTGATTCAAATTCTTAAATGTATTAGATTTCTAAAAAATATATTGAAATTGACGCCACTATTATAAAAAATATAATAAAAATAAAAAACTCGTTTTGAGGTTAATTTTCTATATAAATACCTCAAGAACTTTTCTTTTTTTAATGTTTAAGATGTTCCTAATGTATTTTTATCCAATTGTAGTTATTAGGGTATAAAAAACACACATACTTCTTTAAAAATCTATATTTTCTTCATCTTCATACACAATTAGTAAATCATCTAAAAATAGCACAGGAGAGCATATACGCGGTTTTAAATCTCGGTCAGGTTAAAACCACAATTCACACAATGGTTTTCAGCCGTAGTATGAAACGTTATTGATAAAAGCAAAATAAATCGAAGAAAAATCAAAACACATCCATTTTGAAGGCAAGCACAAGCAGCCAGCGAAGTGTCAGTCAGTCAGATTAAAATCAGTGTTGTTAGTATAAAGAAAAATAATTACATGAAATTCATATATCGATAATTTTTTTAAATAACCGATAATTGATTTATTTCTTAATTTTTTTACGAGTACACATTATATTTTATTTTTATGTTTTTGTTTTAGTTGTACATATTCAAATAACAATACAGTTATATAGTTTTATAATAGTTAAGTTTTTTTTTTATTGCTTAGATGGGTGGACGATCTCACAGCCACCCTGGTGTTAAGTGGTTACTGGAGCCCATAAACATCTACAACGTAAATGCGCCACTCACCTCGAGATATAAGTTCTAAGGTCTCAAGTATAGTAACAAGTTAAAGTCCAATGTCTTTGATGTTATTTTATGTGCTTAAAATCGATTAAAATCGATTGATTAATGATAATATTTAAAATGATTTATTTAGATGTTTTTTTTATATACTTAAAATGTTTACTTAATACGTAAAAGGTTTTGATGCTGGCAATATTTTTCCCGCAAAAATAAAATTATTGTTTTTTTTCAATAGAGTTACTTTTTTTAAACTATTTATTGTAAACTGTAGTGGCGCTTATTTGGAAGAAAGTAAATGCATATTTATTTATGACAAAATTAATGCACTAAGTATTTTTTCTCTAATCTATTGTCCGCTTCGGGCCTGAAATGGGCCGTCCCCTTTAACCTATTTTTTTGTTGTTTGTAAAATTGCTGTAACATGTCATAGTGTGTTATAAGAGATTGTTGTACACGCCTGTAACTGGCTTACATACCAGTACTTAATTTTATACTTGCTAATTTTAAGCTTGAATGTTTCGTGTGTATTGCTGTTGGCGTGTCTAAATAAATAAATTAAAATAAATAAAATGCTACACGCACTTATATACAAAACTGATTGAAGTTACTACTGGCTGGAAACAAAACTAATTGACAATAATGTTGGCCGTTAGTAGAACTTCAGGAGTAGACGTCATAATATGTGGAGCTGCGTTTAGTCGTGTATTAGTACTAGAATACTTGTACAAGTAGGCTATACCACTAAACATTAATGATCGATCAGGCTTATCATCAACGCCAACTGTTTCCGGTACTACTGCTCTACTAATACTGGTACTATACTAATACTTTACTGGTGGTAGGACCTCTGGTGAGTTCGCGCGGGTAGGTACCACCACCTTGCCTATTTCTGCCGTGAAGCAGTAATGCGTTTCGGCTTGAAGGGTAGGGCAGCCGTTGTAACTATACTTGAGACCTTAGAACTTATATCACAAGGTGGGTGGCGCATTTACGCTGTTGATGTCTATGGCCTGCAGTAACTTAACACAAGGTGGGCTGTGAGCTCGTCCATACATCTAAGCAATAAAAAAAATTAGTTACTACTGGCTGGAAAAAAAATTAATTGACAATAATACTGTCTGTTAATAAAACTTCAGCTGAAATGACATCTGGAGCTGCGTTTAGTCGTGTATTAGTACTTGAATACCTGTACAAGTAGCCTATACCGCTAAACATTAAAGATCGATCAGATTTACCATCAACGCCAACAATTTCTGGTACTACTGCTCTACTAATAATAATATCTTTTATTTAAATTATAGGGGTGTGCTTAATCGAGCAAGGCAGCGATAGAAACACATCGGCTTTAGTTGTGAAATCGCCGCGGAGGAAGTTCTACGGGTTGTTTCAAGTGAGTCTTATCGTTCCATTTTCATTTTTGGGCGTGATACGCGCTGACAAAGTTTATAGACAATACTGAGAAGGGTCTTCGACTTCTGTACGTACATACCACGTTAGAATGGTGACAGCATAGAAAAATTGTTGTTGACTGGGAAGGTGGAAGGGAAAAGACCGAAAGACAGGTCCTCTATGCGTTGGTCAGACCAAACCAGCACCGCACTAAACACCACCACAAGTGAGGTTGTCCACGTCGCAGAGAACAGATCGACGTGGCATGATGTAGTTTGGCGGAATATTCTGAGATCCCACAGAAGTCACGAGGAAGATAGACAATACAGACCGAACCCGCTCATCTGTCATGCTCTACAGGCCCAACAAGGTCAAACATACTCTGCTACCAGTTGTTTATTAGTAGAAATCTTCAGTACCTTTCCTTTTTGTAGGCAGCGGCTTGGCTCTGCCCCTGGCATTGCTGAAGTCCATGAGCGACGGTAACCACTCAACATCAGGTGGGCCGTATGCTCGTCTGCCTACAAGGGCAATAAAAAAAAAATTACTGGTGGTAGGATCTCTTGTGAGTCCGCACGGGTAGGTACCACCACCCTACCTATTTCTGGCGTGAAGCAGTGATGCGTTTCGGTTTGAAGAGTGGGGTAGCCGTTGTAACCATACTGAGGCCTTAGAACTTATATCTCAAGGTGGGTGGTGCATTTACGTTGTAGATGTCTATGGGCTCCGGTAACCACTTAACGGGCTGTGGGCTCGTCAATCCATCTTAGCAATAAATTAAAAAAAAAATAGTTGCTCACAGCTGCCCAGATTTTCTTCGGAATTTGGCGCCTTACTCAGTGATAATTAAAATAAATAATTTCGTTACAGATAGGAAGTGAATGGTGCAAAGAAGGTCGCAAGGGTGGTAAATGCGACATTCCTTGCGAAGGTAAGCGATGTATCCAAATAGCAGAATTGTCTTAAAACCGGTTTCAAAATGTGAACACCTTTTATTTTGATCCAGTCCCATACGAGCATCATAATGTGGGCGACAACCTTCTTATTATCAGCTTTTAGGTAGACTCAGAGCTTGCTTATATATTTATGCTAATAAAAATGAGACAGGAAATAATAAAAATCCATATTAATCAGTGCTGTTTCTTGTAGCGCCATAGTTGCATAGTCCATAGTAGCGGCATCTTCATTTATTCTCTAAATCTCTTATTGCATACCCACATAACCATCTTACATTTATGTGTCGTGAAGTAAGCAAGTGTTCCGGCCTATATACATATATCGCTTCCTTAGATAGGTGAACGAGCTCACAGTCCACCTGGTGTTAAGTGGTTACTGGAGCCCATAGACATCTACAATGTAAATGTGCCATCCACCTTGAGACATAAGTTCTAAGGTCTCAGGTATAGTTACAACGGCTGCCCCACCCTTCAAACCGAAACGCATTACTGCTTCACAGCAGAAATAGGAAGGGTGGTGGTACCTACCCGCGCGGACTCTCAAGAGGTCCTACCACTTTTAGAATTGAAGTGGCCTAACTTAAAATGAAAATGAGTTTTATACTCTGAACGACTTATAAACAAACATGTATGTATTCTATCAGTTTATAAAATAAAAAATTTGAAAATTCTAATTTAAATTTAAATTTTAGCTTAGAAAAGGATAAAGTGCACTTTCCATCTCTTTTAAACGTAACGCTTACTTTAAGCTTTAAGGTATGCGTTTTAAGGTTTAAAGTATTAAAATCTAAACTGAAAAGTTAAAATTCTTCAATTACTGCTGGGAGGACCTCGCGTGAGTCCGCACGGGTAGGTACCACCACCTCGCCCATTTCTGCAGTGAAGCAGTAGTGCATTTCGATTTGAAGGGTGAGGCAGCCGTTGCAACTATACTGAGACCTTAGAACTCATATCTCATTTACTTTGGAGATCTCTATGGGCCCCAGTAACCACTTAACACCAGGTGAACTGTGAGCTCGTTCACCTATCTATACGATAAATAAAAAATTACATTACCAAAAAACAAGAATTTTGGATTAAACCACTTCAATTCTAAAGGTGCGATATATTGCTTGTTATCTACGTTACATAAAAACAATTACGATCTCGGAATACAGCAGCTGTTTATCAATTACCGCGAAAGAATTGACCCATTTAATCTGTGAATTCTTCGAAGCTAATAAAAGCGGTGTCACATGCAACTTCATAACACTCTACTAGATAAGAGCCCGTGTCATTTGTGGCGCAAAGTCTTTAATAAGCTTTACTTAGTCCACGCAAATATTCTTCCTTTTTAAAACCCCTACCATTTGCTTACGACGCCATTTTTTTTTCCTAAAGAATTTGGCTCCAACAACTTTGGCATTGATTTTGCCAATGTCAAAGTATTTACAAAAATGACAGGTGCTTAGAGGGGAAAAAAATTACTAAATCTAAATACAAATAAATTTGGTCAGTTTTTCCATACGCGAATCTGTGTTTTTAAGAGCAGCACAAACAAATATATGTTCTTCTTCTTCTTCTCCGTCACTCCCTCATTGCTGAGGATCGTGACTCCGTTTCAGCTTGTCGACTGCCAGCCTCCATCGGTTGCGGTCAGTTGCCTAGTGTAGTGCAGCGCTAAGTAGTCCGCTGGTTTGCTCGGAGATCTGGTCGGACCAAAGTTTGGGGCTCCGGCCTCTAGGACGTTTTCCTTCTACTTTTCCAGTGACCATCAGACGTACCAAGCTGTCTGCACCTCTGCGGGCAACGTGGCCAAAGTAGCGTATTATGCGCTGCAGGCAGGTGTTAGACAGGCGTCGAGCGTTCTCCATTTTAAGGTGTTGTAGGACCGAGATGTTAGACTAACTACTTTAAAGATAAATACGATGCCATTTGAATTAACAAGCTTATCATTTTCAGCGTTACTCGACGAAGACATAAAAGATGATGGGGTGTGTGCAATCAAGATATTCGAACAGGAAGGCTTCAAGTATTGGCCTAAATGGGAGGTCAGGTGCAAAGGCCAAACTCTGCCCGACATTGAAAAGTAAAGTATTGCCTTTGATTTTCGCGGGTTTTAGTCGCACTTAAAACAATTTTTAAGGTTTAATCAATGTAATAACAACTTAGTTAGCCCGTGGTCGCGAAAACTGTAAAGTATTTGAAACATCTTAAATCATATATTATATATTACTGGTGGTAGGACTTCTTGAGTCCGCACGGGTAGTTATCATCGCCTTGCCTATTTCTGCCGTGAAGCAGTAATGCGTTTCGGTTTAAAGTGTAGGGCAGCCGTTGCATTTTTACCAGTTTTGTAGTAAAATTTTAAAATGTATCGAATTTCATCATTAGATTCACTTGATCTTGACAGTACGAAAAATAAATAAAAATCACACATTTTCCTAATTTGAATTTGGAATTATCTTCTTTAAAACTTAATGATACCAAAACCAGCCAGATAAAAATAGTATATCCAAAGAGATTTTATTACAAGTTCATTCATACTATAATGCGCAGACTTTTTCCCCAACCTATTGTATACCAGTATGGTGTAGTTTAGTTTTTTGCGTTGATGAGTTAACTAGCTCACGGCTCTCGTGGTTATCGTTAATGTGGTTCTCAAGACATTCTTTCAATTGGAACGCATAACGTCTTTGCAGCATACCTAGTTAATTAATAAAAAAATAATGAAAAAATGTTCAAATAAATCAATAATGTCTTTAATTTGGTGAAAATTACGTATAAAAAATCAGTTTGAGGTAATTAGAAAGAGTGTTAAAAATAACGTTCAATACAAAAGCAGACAAGATAATTCTATGGCTACTGGTGGTAGGACCTCTTGTGAGTCCACACGGGTAGGTACCACTACCCGGCCTATTTCTGCCGTGAAGCAGTAATGCGTTTTGGTTAGAAGGGTGGGGCAGCCGTTGTAACTATACTTGAGACCTTAGAACTTATATCTCAAGGTGGGTGGCGCATTTACGTTGTGGATGTCTATGGGCTCCAGTAACCACTTAAGACCAGGTGGGCTGTGAGCTCGTCCACACATCTAAGAAATCTCGATTCGAGGATGTCATTGATATTTATGAGGCTAACACTTGACGCCAGTGAAGCAGTCTATTTAATTATTAATTAAAATGTACCCGTTAGGAATGAGTCTTTTAGTTTTTAATTTGCTGCTTCGGGATTCCCATTTTGAATTTGTCGAGGAAATTCATTTACAAAATCGATCACGTCCTATTCTATTACGTGTTCGAGATGGAATCTGAAGATCGTTTATTCTAAACATATATATTAAAATGACTGTACGGTGTCAATTTTAGGTTGATAGCATTTGCGTAAAGTATAATTTGATCCTTTTAATGCTGAGCTTCTTGAGAAGTATTTTGCAGAAATTGCTAAAAGATTTTTGAAAAAAGTACCTTATTAATTATGTCGCACAGAATCTTAATTATTTTCCTCAAATGTAGATGAGTTTTCGTAATTTCGGTTATTTGTAAGATACATATCTAACTAATCAAATGAAACTTATTATAATTTTTTTTTTTTTTTTATTTTTTTTTTTTATTAAGAAAATTAATTTATTATATAAAAAAGAACACAATATTCCTAACCTAAAAGTACATGTTATTATCTGCAACGTGCTTCGTCAGATTACAGAAATAAAGTTTTTTTTTTTTTTTTTTTTATTGCCCCTGTAGACAGACGAGCATACGGCCCACCTGATGGTGAGTGGTTACCGTCGCCCATGGACTTCAGCAATGCCAGGGGCAGAGCCAAGCCACCGCCTACCACAATTTTATCCACAAAGTTATCAGCAACATGCTTCGTCAAAAAGTACAATACTTACTTTCAGCTGCAAGCGTCGTCATATTATAATTGTGTTTTTTTGTCAACAAAAAAAAAGGCAATAGTCGGTATTCCGACGCTCCGCACTTTATATGCATTATTAGAGAGTCGATCTATTGACAGTACGCGCTCTAAGCGTTATTAAAATATTGATCATAACCAACAGTTCCTTTGTTTATTTTAAACTAGCGGACCGCTCCGGCTTCGCTCGGGTATTTAAAAAAAATTCAAATTAAAAAATTATAATACACATCAACCCTTCTATTTGCGTCAGGTTACTAAAAAAATAATATTATAAAGATAGTTTGAATATTATTATTTTAATAATCTAGTTTTTTATTATTTATCTATTTTTTATTTATAATTTTTTTTATAATAATATAATGTATTATTTTATTTACATCAAAATACAGCTTAGCCTAGTAAAACTATAGCACAAATTGAGTTGCTCTATAAAGAGAAACAACATTTAAAGCTATTGCTTCACCACTTTTTTATGTTTCTTTTTTTATATTTCAATCTTCAAAAATGCTTTATTATTTCTAATGTTCCTTCTTCTAATTTTTCATTATTCAAAATTCCATTTATGTCATCTTTATAACATATTAACCTCTTTTAAGATAAATCGTATAGATGCTACAATAATATTATTATTTTTTTAATTTTCGTAAAAAGGTCATACATACAAAACAAAAGCCTTAAGCTTATTGAGTCAGAGCTTCCCTTTAAAATATATTATTTTGACGTTGTTTTATTTTTTTAAATTACAGAAAACCTATTGTGGCATAACTATAATAGTTAGACATAATATGCTGTCGCGACACTTTTTGTAAACAATAATGTGTGTATGTGTGTATGTAATCAATGGTTTTCCCCGCGCACGCGATGTAAAGAATATTTTAGGTAATTTTTTACGCCTTGGGTTACATTATTGGAGTTTTAGTAAGGATCCCTAATTTAAGTTAAAAAAGAATATAGCCTATGTCATTCGGGGATAGTGTAGCTTCTAAACAGTGAAAGAATTTTTCAAATCGGTTCAGTAGTTTCGGAGCCTATTCAATACAAACAAACAAACAAATCTTTCCTCTTTATAATATTAGTATAGATCACACTAAAGATCCAATTATTCTAACGTAATGTTTTGCACCGTGTACGAGGTCAAATTTGGCTATTGTTGTGCATTCGTTTATAATTGATGGTTAGCCGGTCGTAAGTACATATTGGCCCCAAATGACGTCATACGTAATGAAGCTGCCTTCTGTAAAGTTAGAGAACATATAGCCTGCTTAAATACATGTCTCACTAAGCTCACTTTCTCATTAGCTTTACGTTAATAAAGGAATATTTTGACGGGAATCAGTAATGTCAGAAAAGNCAAACATTGTTTTGCCATATATAAGATTTCTAGGGAATTTCTAGTGTAGAAAAAAAAACTAACTTATTGTAAGTGTGTAAGGATGTGGTAAATGAGTGAAAGAGGTATGTAGTGCTGTGAACGATGAGGGAATATATAATAAAAATAACAAAACCTCATTCAACCACATAATACCTCATTATAACAAAAAAAAAATGTCAAAATAAAAAAATATGTTAGGGGTGGACAACCCTAATCACTTACTGAATATGCATAAAAAATTTCATGAGAATCGGTCAAGCGGTTTCGGAGGAGTATGGGAACGAACATTGTGACACGAGAATTTTATATATTAGATATAGCCTGTTTGAATACATTACTCACTAAGCTCACTTTCTCATTAGCTTTACGTTAATAATGGAATATTTTGACGGGAATCAGTAATGTATAGCTCTTTTGTTGTATTATTCAAAATCTTTTCATTACTGATGGAAAAGCATACGCATCGTTCAATATCCCCGCCTGTGCTTATAGTTAATTAATAATAATAGTAATAATATTTTATTCAAGCTTCTTAAAATGCAAACACGTACAATAATTCTTAACACTAGTATAATAATATACATGGCTTTTTTATGAGGTATACAATGACAAAATTCCCTGACTTTTGTGCTAGGAAAACCTGTGTTATAAAAGTCAGTGGTTCAGTGCTAGGTCACCAGGTAAAGAAAGTTAACCAAATATATAACCAAATAAATTATATGAGTGTCAAAAGTAACACGCTGTATAGCCTATTTACTTCACCCAGACATATTATGTATATGTATGTAGGAGTGGTAAGAATGGAACGTATGAAAAGAGTGTAAAACGGAGCGTTAAGAAATGGAAAAGAGAACGACAGTCAGAATGACGGAGAAAAGGAAGAGGGCAAAGGCATATGAGAAAGGCGTAAAAAGGGTGACAGATAATTTTCAATTGAGACCGTCAGCGCAAAAGTAGTCTAACCCACAATTTTACATATTCGCGCTTATATATTGCAATTTATTTAAAACATAATAAATTTTGATGCAAAACCGGTCTACCCCTAGTTTCACCAATAGAGAACAGATGGCTTTCTAAACATTATTTTTGCGCGTATTGTTTTTGCCTACGAAGCAGTGTAAAAGTAAATACCAACATCATTATCTCCATACTAACTATGAGAAGCTTAGGACACTTTTGCGCTGACTGCCTCAATTATTATACAACAATGAAACTGGTGGTGGTGGTACTTTACTAGTGGTAGGACCTCTTGTGAGTCCGCGCCGGTAGGTACCACCGCCCTGCTTATTTCTGCCGTGAACTAGTAATGCGTTTCGGTTTGAAGGGTGGAGCAGCCGTTCTAACTATACTTGATACCTTAGAACTTATATCTCAAGGTGGGTGGCGCATTTACGTTGTAGATGTCAATGGGCTCCAGTAACCACTTAACACCAGGTGGGCTGTGAGCTCGTCCAACAAACTAAGCAAAAAAAAAAAACATGTGTGCAATTCACACGTGGTAGAAGTGAAACCTTCCAAAATTAAAACACAATTATCCTAAACATCTTAAGTATATGTAAAATTTTGCCATTAGTAAATAATTGTAAGGTGGCGCCCTCTGTGAATTGATATTTTAATTTCACGTATAATCCTAAATTAAAATTCACTACAAGAGCTTTCATACACACGTTAATATTAAAAAATTTCACAGATGGCGCTGTATTAAATAGTATGTATATTTCTGTCTCATTCTTTGCTGGCTTCATCCTACACATTTTTGTTTTTGTGTCTCTTACCTGTCGTTTTTTCCGTTGCATCCGGTTTGAAATCACAATGATTCTAAAGAAGTTTTCACTTCAAAAAATTATGTGCATCCAATTCTACATGTATTTATTTTACAGGTGTCCAGACTGGCAGCTACCACCGAGCCGCGCCAGTCCGCCGCGTGACAAGCGTTACTTAAAATCGGACAACAGCTACAAACTATTCAGAGGACGCAGGAACTTGAGCTCTATTAGAAATAAGATCTATTTACAATAGCGGGACTTGTTACGTTTTTCGTTTGGACTTTTTTATTGTTAATATATGTACTAATAAGCTAATATATGTACTCTCTTTTTTATGCGTTTTATTTATGCCATCCAATATTTCAATTGATGTACGTATGTATCCTTGTTGGAGATACATGTTTACTTAACGTGAAGCAGTAAGGCATTCGGGAAAAAGGCATTCCTTCGATACAAAAAAAGTATTCAAATTTCTAAGGACATAGCCCTAAAGTCTGACACCACTCGACTTCATTAGTTTGTTAAAGATATATGTTGTTCGGAATTAATTCGCATTATTATCTGACCGCTTTTTATATACACAAAATAACGAATACATCCACAAAGCTATTGAAATATATTAAAGTTAAAGTATAAAGTTTTTTACTGGTGGTAGGACCTCTTGTGAGTCCGCGCGGGTAGGTACCACCACCCTGCCTATTTCTGCCGTGAAACAGTAATGCGTTTCAGTTTGAAGGGTGGGACAGCCGTGGTAACTATACTTGAGACCTTAGAACTAATATCTCAAGGGGGGTGGCACATTTACGTCGTAGATGTTAATGGGCTCCAGTAGGCACTTAACACCAGGTGGGCTGTGAGATCGTACACTCATGAAAGCAATAAAAAAAAAAAAAAAAGCCGATTTGTATTGAAAATTTGAAATTCGTTTTTTTTTTCTTTCTCTCCAAAAAATCTCAAACCATGAAGGTTCTATGTCAATTCGTAGAACGGCAATTTCATACTTTAACCCCTACGATTTGACATTTTGAAGTTCTTGGAAGAGGCGAATTGAAGTATTTCGGTTTTAGGTATACTAGTAGTCCCGCAGTAGTCGAAATTCGATTATAATTAATTGGAATTGTAAGTTTGTACACTATTATGATTGTATTTTATACTTTTATTATCACAAATTTCGTCAAAACTACACTATAAAAATATTAACAAAGACAAACAATATTTAATGTATTCTCAATTTGACAACAGACGTCAAGAACAAAAGTTTGACAATAAATAGTACCTATGCATGCGTGTGTGCGTCAAATACATGGTATGTAGTGTGTATAATGTTTTCTTTATTGATTTAATGTATATTTTATGTATTATTAAAAAAAATATTAGCATTGTGCACTTCTTCTCTATATTCTCTATAAGTGTGGAAAATTTCATACTCCTCCGTCCGCGCAATTTTCGTAAAAAGGGATACAAAGTTTTTGCTTCACGTATTAATATATAGATTTTGTGTTCGTAAAGTTTATGTGTTTTCGAAGTTTGAATCATCATTAAATACTGTATATGTTTGTTATTGGCTCAAGTAAATTGATTTAGCTTATCAAATAGTTAAAACGTATTATATTTAGAAAGGTCTGGAATCCGTGATTTACAACAGATTAGCCGGTACCCTTCCTTAACTAGAACGTACAGATTATACTCAAGGATTATTATGGAAACTTTTCTAAGCATACCACAGTTCATGGCACGACGTTATTTATTCAGACTAATCCAGTGAGGTTGGGATGTTTGTTTTAAATTATTCAATAAGTACGTGCCGTATTCTGTTAATTAAGAGGATGTCGGATGGATCAAATTAAATTATGTAATTAAGATTTGATTATATTATTTTCTAGTTAATAATTCTAGTCGTGTTTCAAGAATAATTTTCTATTGAGATTAAGCTCCTCAAAATTTGTTCTAAATAAACAAACTATTTTACGTGTCATAGTTTCTTTAGGGATTTAGTTATTTCTATTCTTCAATCAAAAGTGATTATATCTGGAACACAGATAATAATAGGATATTTTTAAAAGCATCTCAAAAGGATTGCAAGTAATCTTTGACTTTCATGTAAAAGCATTGATGTAGTGGAAGATGCTTTTCCCATTATGATGGAGTGTGCGCGGGAAGATGATTTGAGACAAGAATTCTTTGCAAAATGTACAGATTTTCAACAAGTTTGAGGTGTAAATTACGTATTAGCCTTTTCGGAATAAGAAATGGCTAAGTCACTTTATAAACAAGTTTTGATGAGCCTTCAGAGACGATAACAGTCTCCTTTATTTTTTTATATAATTGTTTTGTTACTTTCTGTTGTTGCAAAATGGAGTGGCATATTCACTAGGTGAATGATCTCCTTAAATAAAGATAAAAAAAAGTAAAAGCCTTTGTGTCTATCTATCTATCAACCTACAGACATTCACTGCTGTACATAGACTTACGCTGCCTGTATTCAGCACATTCCTTCCACCTTCGATAGGTCTTTTTTTGTAGAAGACTACCGACGTGACGTCATCAAGTACACTGTCGACATCTAAGAGCTTTTTGGCTCGAGCAACAATCTGACCTACGAGTGATACCATACCTGCTACTACTTAAGCGTCGCAATCCTTTAAGTTATATCGGTTATCCAACAAATCTCTTCATTCCTGGTTAGATTTGGCAGCAAAATTTTGAGCATAATGCTGTTTGGGTGACTGAGCCGTTCTGAGTGACCACGTTTCACTCTCGTTTTTTTTATGGGCTTCGCGAATGAATCTACTACCGGATTGGATTCGCGACCCGCTGAGAAGATCGGTCGAGAAACTCAGCGGGCTAAGGTTTAAGGTTGGGTTGCACGTCGAACTCTTTATCGAATTCGACGAGTACGATTGCCGGGGTCCCTAAGCCTGCTCCTAGCGTTCGAGCTGAAGGCGTCTAATGCAAAGGTTAGGTTTTTCTTTTCTTTTGTCGTCTCTCTCTCACCTAGTGTTAGAACTAAAGGTGTCTAATGCAAAGCTTATTGGATCTGATCGCTGTCGTATATCATCACTAAAAGCATACTGGTCAAAGAATTTCGTTTTGAGACACAGCGGTATTTGAGATGAGATGGTTCTACGCAGTTTTCCGAGCTTCTGATTGGTGCGCCAACAAATCAACCATATTGTTAATGGCTGTGGCGTTTAAGCCGGAACACAAAATGTCTTTGAAGTAGAAATAGAGAGGACGGTAGTATCTATCTGCGCGGGCTCACAATATGAATTTCAATCATAATCCGGTGAAACTTTTCCACTTTATGATGCTACGGAAGCTCGTAAGCTTATAGCTACTAAATTCTTTCTAACTTAATTGAAATTTCGATTAGTATCCCTTCAGTAGCACCGCGAGCCATGTTTTAATTCGATGAACTGACATTTGACGTGAACGGCCCATTTGTCTAGATTTACTGTGTATCTTATGTCCTTATTACCTTGGGAAGGTAGAAGAGTACACAGCTACAGGTCAAGGCCGCAAATCGATCGAAGGTACATTGAGAACTTGATTTCGGGAATATAACAACTTGTAACAACATCTACTATGATTGTGATTAGTATTGTTACGCGCTGGGGTTCGGGATAAATAAAAAGTTCCACCAAAGCTAAAGAGTTAAATTAAAACTGTATTAGTACTTAGAACACTTTAAAATTCTTAATTAGCTTTTTTTTATTGCTTAGATGTGTGGATGAGCTCACAGCCCACCTGGTATTAAGTGGTTACTGGAGCTCATAGACATCTACAACGTAAATGCGCCACCCACCTTGAGATATAAGTTCTAAGGTCTCAAGTATAGTTACAACGGCTGCCCTACCCTTCAAACCGAAACGCATTACTGCTTCACGGCAGAAATAGGCAGGGTGGTGTTACCTACCCGCGCGGACTCACAAGAGGTCCTACTACCAGTAAAAAACTCGACTGGCGACTGCGTACCGAAGTCGTAGCGTAAGTAAGCCACGACCAAGTAGTCCACAAGGTGGATCCACGAACTATTGAGGTTCGTGGGAATCCTCTGGATGCAAGCAGCACAGGATCGGTCGTTGTGACGAGGTTTGCGGGAGGCCTATGTCCAGCAGTGGATGTTTGTGGGCTGATAAATAGATAGGGTTATTATACACCACTCTGCCTATTTCTGTCGTGAAGCAGTAACACGTTTTTGTTTGAAAGGTGGGGAAGCCGTTGTACTGTAAAAACTGAGACCAAAGAATTCGTGTCTCGAGGTGGTTAGCGGCATTTACGTCGTAGGTCTCTATGGGATCCGGTAACCACTTAACAACACGTGGGCCGTGAGAAAAAAATATATATAATAAAATGTTTCTATGCTGTGTGTGTTTTGTATATTAAAACTGCTACTGTACTTTGGTATATAAAGTTGAGTAATTAATAAATAAAACTATATTTAGACTCGCAATATCGGCGAGTGCGCGCAACAAATCGTATGGAAATATAAACGACAACACAGAATCGTTGATGGGCAACGATACCTAACAATTAGCTGTCGTCAATTAGAACATAGTGATTAGCATAAGAAACAAGACAATGAAAAAGGCCCGTTGGCGCGCGCCGTTCGAATGTTAATTTGCTAACATCGGCAATTAGCTGTTATTATGTTAGGTGTTATACGAGCAACAAGAACGGTGAGCAAGTTTGTCTATTAAAATTCTAAATCAAATTAAAACCGATTCGGAGGTTTTTGGAACGAAGTTCCTCATGGGACGATGCGGAAAGGTACCTAAGGTAAAGGTTAGCGCAAAAAATTTACTTTTCAAAAAATTCTGTATTTTCATTTATTTTTTTAAAGATTTTATGGCTTGGTAGCGAGGCCTTTAAGGCAAGTTTTACTACTACTTATATTCTGTTATATGAAAAATGCGAAGCGAAACAAGATGGAGTTGCTTGATTTGGGACTTTAATCAATTCAGATGAAATTAAATGAAAGGAAATGATATTATGGAACGAAATTTAAAGTGTAATTTTCGAAAGAACCTTACTAAGAAGCTTTCATAGATGCTAAACTAAATGAACGAAATAAAACAATTAACGCAACTTCACTCCTCGCGTCCCAACGAAAAGCTCCTATATTTTTTCATTGATTTTATTCGCTGGTATTGTTTTTTTCATGTAAATTCTACGTTACATCTTCTGTTTTTTCCGATGAGAGTTGCACAAGTCTACTAAGACAATGGACGGCAGTGTACTCTTAATACTATTGGTATTATTGGCGATAGGGCGTATTGTAAGCCCGCACGGGTAGATACGACAATCCTGTCTATTCCTTTAC